GTGATCTTCGTATATGTAAAAAATAGTTGATTAAGTTGGCTGTAGAAGACTTTAAAGCGGGTATCCCGAAGGGATTCAATATAGGCCACAGAAGTGTTAGCCGCCGACTTGCTCCCTTTTTCGTTTACATTTGGCATACCTCAACTCAAAAAACTTATGATGTTGTCATGTCCACTTAGTTCGTTTTGCATCGAAGGTCTCAAGTTTCCAGCTCTTAACGCAACAACATAACTTCGCTCAAGCCACCGCCCTGTCAAGTTGAAACTCTACAATAAGATATATTTGAGCGAAAGCCTTTTTAGCTTTCTGGTATCAGTGAAGCAGCAAAAAAGTCATAATTTGACATGAGAGACAATGAGAGATGATTATGAGGTCTATCAAATCTGAATAAACAGTCTATCTGCAGGCTCTTAAGAGTGCAAAGTAACGACTAACAGAAATAACACTTATTAAGCTTTTATTATGTTATTGTTCTGCTCCTTGTTATTTATATTTAATGATTGTAAAACTATATATAGAAAGCAATATTTTCATTGCAGCTTGGTGTGGTAAATTCTATAGACAAGTCATCCTTAACCTGCTATCTGATATGTGAACATGCAGAAAAACTCAGTGCAGCTATAGCCTTGTGCAAGCTCAATAAAATGTGAGTATTTCTTTCAATTTTTCACTGGTCAGGTTCCCTTCGTAACGGTTTAGTCTTGTCGTATCGTATCTACATTTATTTGTTTTATCCGCTGCTCACATATTTGGTTATGTTTGTTTACCATTTACAGAACGTTTTCGGAAAATGTGGTCGGAAAGTTAATGGAAGATGTCCTTTTGGGTCGATGATCCAAACGGAAATCCATTTCTTGAAAGCCGTCTTTAATACCAGTTTCAGGCCTTCGCGGCCGATTTTTGGTAAATGGCGAACGCAATTACGGGAAGAAATTTACCAGCCCTGAATTCTGCTTACCATTGCTTAAACCTTGAACCAGCCGGATTACCCATGTAAATGTTCAGCTACCATTGTCAACGATTTCTTTTTGTTTAGATGTCAGACTGTGGTTGATGAAAGTATTGCAGTTGTCATTAAGAAACGGCAAGTAAAGTCTCAAGTCAGAGGACTCACTGAGCATGATTTGTTCTTTAGGGAGGTAAATAAATCTGATTAACAAAACATGCTTAACACTGAAAGCTGAGGATTTTAATTGCATGCCCCCCGTTATCGGTCAACTGGTATTCAGAAATTTGCCCTTTGAAGACCGCTTTGGTCGTTTTCGTTCTTCAGTTTAAGCTAATCAAGTTGGTAAGCAGCAACGACAGTATAGACCCGCTCTCCAGTGATACCTTTTTTGGATATTCTGACCAATCCTGACAGGGTTACACGCAAAGACCAAGTAACATTTTGGGGAAAAATCCACTGCTAATTTCGCTATTTACCTACTCCTCTTTTTACATGAAATTTGTACCTTTCCTAAAGAGTTAGCCAGCCAAAATTCCCTGCATAGGTAGGACGATGAAGAGAACAACAAAACTGCATTTAAAAACTGAAAAAGGGAAAGGGACGAAAGAATGCAAGGAAGAAAGATTGAAGTAAATTCGCAAAATAGGTCCAAAGTTTGGCTTTTTTTTTTTTTTTTTTTTGTAATTTAATCACTGTTTATTTCAATTTCTTGCCTTACATTAATAACATTAATTTTTACATACATTACCGACATTACAATTTTTTAAAAATAATACACAAATAACTCACACACACACGCACAGCACACACGACACACAACGACAGTATCAATACTACTAATCCTTAACAGGTATTTAGCGGGAATTGTGTACCAGCTATCAAGAGTGCTTGCCATTTCGATAAATGAAAAGACATTTTATTCTTCCATATGGCAATGATAGTTTCTAATTGATAAACGTTATTGAGTCTTGCCAAGAAAACCCGTAAACAAGGGTTTGTTTTCGTGCAACTGCTTACCAACTAGCAAAATATGATTAATAAATAAATTGTCTTTATGTACCTTTATCCCAAATAACATATCTTTAGCAGAGAGATGGTTAATAACCAACCCCCGATTGCTACACCATTTAATAACTTCTGCCCAAAAACTCTGAGTAATCAGGCAAGAGACAAAAAGGTGTTCAAGGGATTCATCCGCCCCATCGCACAGAGAACATCGTGGTGATGAAGAAATACCAATTTTGTTTAAAAAATCGTTGGTGGCCAGATATCTGTGTAACAATTTATATTGAAATTCACGTGACTTAGTGTCAAGGGCAACCTGGTAGGGTAAGCTGTAAATATCTTTCCAGTTTAAATCATCATTTTCAAAAAATTCAACATATTTCTTTTGCGCAGTTGGTTGAACAATTTCTCCGTCTCTAATTTCTTTATAGATGCCTTTTGAGTTAGCATTACTTACTAAAACGTCTTTACCAGATAAAAACAACTGAGTCTGCTCGTGAAGATCGAGAGAAACAAGGCGATCATATCCATAACTCTTCAACGCATGACGCCAGTCCTTCGGGAGTGCGTCGATCACTGAAAAAAGTTGAAATGCGTCCAATGGGGATAAATTTAACTCCCTTAGCTTGCTCGTTATGATTTCATTGTTTTCAGCAATAAGATCCCCTATTCTTACAATTCCTTTATCTACTAATCTTTTGTTGAAAACGGTTTTACCACCAATTAAGATATAACAATTATTCCACAGAATGATCTTTGAAATATCCACTGCATTAATATTGTCTAGACTAACCTTGTTTGCTGCGGAGCAGCATTCCTCATAAAAACCCGGAAGCTTAAGGCAGCTTTTTTACATCGAAGTTGCACCCAAGGATAAATTTGCCACCTATTGGTTTTAGGTAATGAAGAAGAAGAATTTTCCAGCTACTAAGGTCTTCACGCGCGAGTTTTTTACAGCATAATATTCTTTGAGTTTTAATAATAGAATCCAAGTGTGGAGCTTTCAATCCTCCATCTTCAATGTCCCCAACGAGCACACGACGTTTCACTTTGTCTTTACCTTTCCAGATAAAGTCAAATATGATTTTGTTTACTTCATTTACAAATTCCTTCTCCATACAAATTAAGCTAGCACGGTATAAGAAAGTGGGGATAGTAAATGTTTTGACCAGTTGAATTCTACCAATGATAGTAAGATCCTTCCATTTCCAAATTCTTAACTTATCCTTAATGGTTTTTGTAATTTCATCGTAATTAAGTTTGCGTCTGAGACGGCGATCATACGTGAAATGTACCCCTAAACCATTGTTTGAAACACAGCTAGAAATATTATTATAAAAAGTGTGAATCCACTGGATAAAAGAAGAGCCAAAACGAGCAGCAGATAGGGTACGAAACAGAAATTCTCTGCTTGCAGAATCAAAAGCCTTTTTGAAATCTATAGCTATCAATCTTTCGTTGATTTTAAATCTCTCAGTGTACTCTAAGATGTCTTCTACTGTTCTAACCGTTCGCTCATGCGTGAAAACAAAACAGCTGCTTAATTACATCGATTAGTGGGAAAAAATGCCCTTATTGTGCAGAACAAAAAAGAGGAATTTGTGAAAACGCGGTTTTTTCGCTACTTAACCTGCGTAGTAGGCGCTTGGAAGTATTAAATCGCTATTCGCTGGCCGCCACCAAAGAGTTCGCCGCACGGACCATGGAAAACCATGAAAAACCTGACAGTCATGAAATTTAAAAATTTCATTTGCCCGCCAGTCCTGGGTAGCCTGCGTCGCAGACGTAATTTAAACCCTGTTAGTGACGTCTGCGAAGCAGCGCCGATGCAGTTGTCTCTTTCGTAAACGGTCGCTGCCATTTTTACGACACTTAGAAAATTTTGGACCGGTTATTGAGAGTATTTCTATGAAAAAGAAACAAAATCGCAACCCAGGGTCAAACCAGGCCTTGAACCCTTACCCTTCGTATCCTAACCTCTTACCAATACAATACCACACCAATCCGCCAAAATTCCGAAAAATTTAAGTAAATACACTAACAAACTGTCTTTCTTAACTGTTTCGTAAATTGTAACGAAAATTCAACTTAGGCCCCAACGTCGTTCTTTCTAACACTATTCGAAAACGCACTTTTTTGCCTTTTTGTAACTTAATCCTGGGAATATATTACACCTGTCATGACTAAAGCCTTGGTTACTAAAGGAGGCATCGGCCATTAATAATGGCAAAGACAGTTTACGAAAGGGAAATAGGCAGCGCCAATATCCTTGGTCTGGGCTCCCAAGGGACTCAACGAATTACCGGAATTGCGTTTCGAATCTCCTTTCAACATGATTGGCAAATCAACAATGGCTTTTTTAACTGACCAATCATTGGCGGGTATTCAAATCCTGGTACACGGGTGGGTGCCTAGAATAAGGATTTCGGCGCTGTTCCGTAGATGGACTTAACCATTAACCGTCCCATTAACCAGAGTTTAGTATCGTCTGTGGCGCAGGATAGGCCTGCAAGGTCTTGGAATTTAATTGTCGGTCCTGGAAAGTCATGGAAAATTAAAGTGTGTTAGATTAGTTTTTGCAGATGTCAAAGCTAGGACAACGTAAGATAGTGACGAGTAATGAAACTGCGCGAACGGCAAGCATTTTGGTGGACACCAGAGTTTGTGTCTGTTGAATTGACTTACGTAAAGAGAATACCCTAAACCAAGGCAAGTTTTGAAAATTTTCGAAAGTGACAGCTAAACATAACTTTAAGGTCGTAGAAACACAGCACGAACCCTGTTAAAGACGTTTATTTAAAATCTTGTAACAAAAGTGAATTTCCTCCCCTAGGTTTCTAGAATATCTGATATCTTCCAATGTCTGTTGGATTATGAAGAGGAAATGTTTGAAAAGCGGAAGACGCCTTCTCTTTTCCTGGAAACAATTTTAGCAGTTAATACAATTATGCAGGTAAGCTTAAAAATACTTACTGATGCTGGTGACCAAAAACGTAAATGAAAGGTCAGAAGTAAAAAATAAAACCAGGCAAATAATTATTGTTACAGCTACGAAAACGTGAGTAACCTGGCCCCAGTTGTTCAAACATTGGATAGCGCTATCCACCGGATAAATCACTATCCAGCAGACAAGTATTAAGGAAACGAATGGGCCCTTTTCACGAAACGGTCACATGGTGCAAAAAACACCTTGCTGGATGGCAAGCGACGTAGAGGGGCAAGAAAAACAGAGATTACTTCATTCAAAAAGCTAATATCCTTTCTTTTCAAGGTTCTACTGCATCGTTTGCCATCCAGCAAGGTGTTTTTTATACCATGTGACCGTATCGCGCAAAGTGCCCATTAAGCTATCCAAAGAGTAGCGTTATCAACCTTTTAACAATTGAGGCCTGGTTTTCATACAATTGCTGCAACCGGCAATGCAACGGGTTAGATCGCTGAAAATAAACTCAGTGATCGCATACAACGATTGTAGCCGTCGTAACACTGGTCTCCACGAGGGACCTCCTCTTTCTCGTAGATCATATGAAAACCAGTTCTTACGTGTATCCGCCTAGGAAATGTTGCAAGAAGCCTGGCACTACCGACAGACAAATTCCACATTGTATCAGCCAACCAACCAATCAGAAGAATTGAAAATCGAGGTGGTACCATGGACTGGTAAGGTTATAGCTGTTTATTTGGGTGGAGACTAAGGTATTGATCTTGTCTTTGTAAGTTATTGAATTCTGACTGTACTTCATCTATAGCCACAGCAGGACCAAGTGGAATGAGATCATTGCTCTTGAAACAGGTGAGCTACCGCTCCAGGTTGTATGGGTTAGAAAGGGCGCTGTACTTTTGGTTATTGATTTTAGTTTTACTAGGGTATATTTTATGTGTGTGTGTTATATTATAAATTCTAGTCTTTTTCGCTCACTGATCTCGTGGTTTCCTTGTGCTTTTGATCGTCGTGGTTCTTCTGGTTGATCTGGTGTTCTGGTTCTTGTGGTTCTCTGCATGGTAATTCTGGTCCGGCTTGAGTACCTGTAACTCTTTCTGCTGTCAGCTGTGGCTGTTACACCGGGGATAAGCCTTGTAATGATCACACACTATAGTTGTTGACAGACGTGCTCTTCCTTCAGTTCTATTTGTGACTTGTGACCATCAAGTCATAATAAAGCAAAGAGTTAAATTCTGTTGTCCCTGCTTTCGAGGGATATTCTTACTTTCAGAGGGTTCTCATTCTGGGATTTAATAGCAGAACTCAATTTTAATGTTACTTTTGGGACTTAACGGTATACTCTTACATATCAACTATGTTTTTTCCCTCTACCTTTACCCTGGCTGATTGTAGCTTGCTGCACATGTTTAAAACGCATTGCTAACTGAATTTTATATTCGCAATTTTAGCTGGCATTTACGACTGAGAGAGGAGTTTCAGAGGCTGATCAGCGGGTTTGTCTTGTTAAGTCTTTACAGTCTCAGTGTACATCTTGATAACTGCACATTGTGTTTCCCAAATAGGCCATTTGCACGATGACGTCTTTTTACTACTAAGACTAGAATTCATTTCGTTTTTTCTTTCATATTTAAATTTGGTAGTCCCAGTGAGGCTTACTTAACAAAAGCCCTAATTTGCACAAGAAAGCAAAACCCTGAAGGATTCTGGTAGTTGTAGTAAAATGACGCCATCGTGTAAATGTCTTATTAACGCAGTGTTTCGCCGACTTGGAGCTTCTTAGCTTTTTCCAGACCTTCAGGTTGTGGCGATGGCGCAAAGCGATGTTAGCAGGAAAAACAGCTAGGGGTTGGGGTGGGGAGTCTCCCTCTTTTCCTCCTTATTTTTTTCCCTGCTCTCTATCTTCGCGCCACTCTGTACTATCTGAACGCCTTAAAAATGCTAGGAGTTTCTATGCCACATACTTGGCATAGTTGTGTTTGGCTAATATTGAGTTGTAATTCAGTAGACTTTCTACATACTGGTCACCGTCCGGAAGCCACTTGGGTAGGTGACCAGGATAATATTTTATTGCCTTGTGGTATAAATGGGTTTACAGAAAGGCCGCATCCAACTCAGAGCGACTTCCATCAGTTCGTATACTTAATGAAACTTTTTAAGAGCCATCGTGTCCAAACCAGTGCACGTCATTTTTATAATGAGCTTATTGATGAGTTTGACAGGTTTGACCAGTCAACCCACAACGACTTTGACAGCAACAGTGGTATTATTTATTCACATCGTTTGTATTTTGTTCTAGAACTTGTCACTTCTTGTTCAACATATGGTTGATTTAGCAGATGTTTTGTTAGATGGTTATGTAAAGCAGCTCCAATCATTGAGGTAGGTATCTTATCGTTTGTAGCGACTCCGTGGACTGTTACTTTGATTTGATTGCTTGTTGTGAATGTATTGAACCTATAAGTAAGAGGAATATGATCGTCCGGGTGAGTGTTGTCCTGAATAGGACTGTTGTTGATAGTGACAGATGTTTCGATAACCGGTGCAGTAGTCATCTTCAGAGTCAAGGTGAGTTGTATCACGTACGTCAGTTGATGGTATTGAACTCTGGTTATTGACGTGATTGGTTGATTAAGTCGCGATGTTATTAGTCGTTTGCCAGTTCAGCTGTGATATTATTGGCTATATAGACTCAAAATGTGAGTGGTGCGTTTTGATCTGTCTTTTGGGTATAAAAATAATAGTCTTATTATTCATATATTCGTATTATGCATCTAAGCATATAGAAAAAAACAGTCGCATTATTTCTGCAATTCACTTTATCTTCATGTTTCACTCCTTTTACGGGTCAAGATAAACTCAACAATTTGGCCTGCTCCCAATGTGTTGGTCTTCATTACTGCGACGATCATATCTTCATTTAAAAATTTAGTCAAATTATCGGTTTGTCCAGTCACAATTACCGGTAATTGTTGGCTTCTGTTCAGGTCAATATCCTGAGTTTGATACCATCCATTGAAGAGATGCAACTAATTTTGTCTCTGAAGAAGACTACCGCACAGGTTGTCGAAACGTCAGTCATTGTGAACAACAGACCAATTCAGGACTACACCCACTCGGACGATCATATTCCTTATACTCATGACTGTTTACTATTAAATATATGACATTTTTTGTGGCCGCAGGAACTGTCCTGGTAAAGAAAACCGTTATGATGAAGTGAGGCAGAAGTATGAACAAGACAGACGCACTGTTATTCTACCACTAGGTACTGTGCATCTAAGCATAATGATATAATGCTAATAACAGCAAAGTCGCCGGACCTGTTTTAGACTTGTTTTACCTTCAGCTAGCAAACTGGATATGCTACCGAGCCTCTATCTACAATATGACTTAGGTCATGTCCTCTTGGAAAAAACCGGTTGTGGTTTGTTTAGTGAATCAACATTTTCAACCAGCCTATAAATTAGTTGAAGTGCTTGAAAAGGATGGGTAGCGGCCGCTGATCGGTTGAGAGGTGTCGATGAAAAACCTGTCAACACACAATAATGGCGATCTTTGTGAACCTTTCAAAGCACTTTATTCAAAAAGAACCAAAACAAAACTTGAAAAGGATCGATGTTTTAAAACTTTAAGTATAACCACTACAGCATAGATTTAAATATGGTTTATAATCCGAAGGCCAAGTAGTATTTTATTATCCAGTCCAGGGTCCTTGGAGGTCTTTGGTTTTTTACTTCAATTATAGTCACTATGAAAGTTGAATGAGTGACAGTGCAGGTCGTGCAAAAGACTGCGAATACCTGATCCGTTTAGCGAAGAGAGACGACTGTATTCGCAGGCTAGTGACACACAGTCTTCTTCACAGAAATCTGATTCTAAGAAGTTCCATTGCAAGAAAAAAACCTGTTTCTACGACTCCTCTTCCTTATCCTGTATCCCTGACACCGCTAACGGCCGTAAGAACCACTTTTTTATACAGGTCATCCAATAAATCGTGCATATCATTCTCATAATAACCTGTAATGCAAATGCCAGGTCTTCTCCGTTCCCAAAAATGATTCTGCTACATATACCTGTTCATCGAAATCGGCTAATAGCACTTACCGAGACCTTGATTATTTCGGATATTACATAACCAAATCTAATAAGCGTTTTATTTTTCCTTGTTTGGAAGAAAGTAACAACGACGAGGCCGTCGCACGGAACACAGTTCGACATTGTTCTTGGGAATCTAGCATTGCGCGCGCAACCTATAGTAACTGACTAAATGATTTGCGCTGATTTCCAAAATTAATTTTAAGTTCTTAGCCTCTGAGAAGACAGATATTGCAATGTATAATAATACAAGTTGTGGTCTTCTCCTCAGTCCATCTAGAGCAGCGGACTCATGCGACTTCCCTGGCTGAGAAGTACCATGACTTTGGAGTTTTGATTGAACTCTGTGAATCAGCTGGTGACCAAGACACCTTACAGCGATATATGACGCAGTTTACTCAGCAGGTAAAACCATTATTTAGCAATTAAAGAATTCGGCTTTCGTAGGATATGAAGAATTAAGCAGATCGAGGAGGGTGATAACACCCTCCGAGATCTGCTTAATTCTTCATATCCTACGAAAGCCGAATTCATTAACAGAAACTGTTTTATTATTCATTCAAAATAATTCCTAGTTTAAAAACATAGCTAAAACATGCTTACCTGCATCGATGTTAAGTTCATCTTCGATAGTGTACGTTTAGGTTTTTTCAGCTCCGCAAATATTGTCCAAATAGCAGATGTCGCCCTCCGAGTTGTCTTCTTTCTGTTTTTGCCATGTTTTTAGCTATTATTTCGCCTAGTTCCAGCTGTAGTTCTTACTCTTGAAACGACTGAAATGACCGCCATTTTTAACGGTGCCTTAACCTGTAGCGGGCTGCATTTTTGTTTAAACACAAAATTCTTCCAAATTTGATCATTAGAAACTGGTTATGGTGAATTATGCGTGTGCTTTTAGCCAATCAGAATTGGGAAATATTTTGAATGAATAATTAACAATTATTCTTTGAAATCGAGGTGAGTAGTGGCAAATATGTGCCGTGCAACGAAGTGGCGAGGTAGATATTCCTAAAGCCACTATTCACCGAGATTGAAAAGAATAATTGTTTTAGTATATACACACGAAGTGATCTCAACAAAATCGGAGAGGAAACCATTAAAAAGTACGATTTGATTGACAGATCAGGTCAGCTAGACAGGCGACAGTTTAAAAATAGATCTTTGTAGAATTTTCAAACATAGCAATTCACAAGCTTATCACTTCGCAAACAACAGCGTAATGACTTAAATGGAACCGCTAAAAGTTTGAATTGTTTCCTTACCTGAGAAGAAATGAAGAGCTTTGTTGTTTTCTGTTGACTCGCCAAGTTTATAGCCGCATGAAGTGCTGACAAAAATGGCGATTCCGTTCCTTGAGGTAAGACGTCGTCTTCATGTAGCATTCCTTCTCGTGTTTACTTGAAACGTAGAATTTCTGCAAACATTTGCTTTCAAATTTGTTTTTCATAAATAAACTTCGTCTTTGGGTCAAATTTTTCTTGTTAGGAAACGCTGAGTTCACCAAACGGCCTCCTCTAGGCGAACAAACGGGAGTTGTAAACAATCCATCGACCACAAAACTGGAAACGCCGTTTTGAATCCTTCGAAGTCTTTTCTTGCCTGAAAAAAAGTCAACCCTAGGATTTTGTCGACTTTTAAAAGATCTTTCTCTAAGAAAATAGGAAAAAAACCGAACTCACACATTATCCACTCGCTGGGAGATAAATATTGTTGAATAGTCCGAGATAGCGAACCATTCAGATTGCTTAAATCACCAAGATCACTGGGTGTGTATATACTAATAATGTATAATAAAATATTTCTAATTGGAACCATGACCGCTAGTTTTGAACATTTCGACGTCATTTCTATAGTCTAGTAACCTTGAAGGTTGCTAATGTCCATTTCCCGGGAGAGACAAAGAGACCATAGTTCTCGACCAATCTTCGGGCTCTTCAATCCCTAACACTTTTACTTTGTTGACTTTTATTTGTGATCAATCTGACCATAGTTAATAAAGTGGAGTCGTTATGAAACCCGTTAAGGCCGATGAAGACGGTACGATTTTTGTTTACGACTATCGTGCGCGAATAACATACGTCATGACTTTTGACCATCCACACGCGCACAATTTTCACTTACGAAATCCACACATGTCGTACGGATGTCGTGGGTCCAATTTACCAGACACGATCTGACGTGAAGTCATGACGTATGCTAGTCGCGCACGATAGTCGTAAGTAAAAATCGTACCGTCTAAATCGGCCTTTAGACTCTGGTGTTATATGTTTTTGTTAGCTTTTTTAGACTCGACCGTGCACAACGTTAAAAAGCATTTCTATCATTTGAACTTATTGACCAACAGAAACATCGCCTTAATCACAATTTGTGAACAAAAAACAAAGAGAGCGGCTAACATAAACTGCAGCACCGTTGTTTTAATCTTTGATCTTTGCCGGCTTTCATAACCAGTGTCCTCTACTAACTATGATCAGGCGGTCAGGCTAGCATCAATTTGTTTTATTAGTTATTTGTTCTGTATTTGTTATGCCGCATTTGAATAATAATTTATTAAGCAGACAGAAAGCAAAGTAACGTTTTAAAACATTTAAAAGGTAAGCTTTTTGATCCCTTCATAATTTGGTTCGTTTGAACAGCCATTGGACTGACGAAATATGGTAGTTTATTTTGTTTTCCATGTTTGTTGTTTGTATGTTGTCATGTACGTAGCAGATAATTAAAAATATTATTACTTTTTGCTTCAGAGTTTTTCAGACTATCTATTTAAGTGGTACATGGACAAAGGTATCTAACAATAAGATAGAAAACATACGATAACTAGCCTGTTGTGATTAATTTTACCTTGAAAATGGCAATTCTTTTTTATTTATAAACGTTTTTTTTTTACATTTTCTCTCCTATCTCTTAAAAGTAGGTAGTTCACCTTTTATTTAAGAAGTAGAACTTTTTTTGTCATGCCATCTTTTGGAAACGTTTCAGCAAGTGTAGTATGGGTACCACATCATCTTGGTTGGTAAATATTTTACTTACACCCCGCCTAGGCTCAATTACCAGCCGCTGATCGGGGAATGAGGCCGCTCGGGGAAAAAAAAAGACAGGACCCGAGAGAGCGGGCAAAAATCGAGCTTACCCCCCCCGCTAGTTCCCCCGACGTACGACACCAAAGTGCATTTTCCCCCTCTTACAAATGGTTAGACTTAACTATTTTTCTTCCTTAATTATTCTTATGCATAGCATAACATTATCCTGGCAGCAGCGGGTTAAATCACGTGAGTATAACACTAGTAATGTATTTGATGTTTAGGAGAACGGCAAAAGCTGATGAGCATCCCTGAACCACAACACCAGGATTTATCGCGTTTTCTGTCTTCTCATCATCACCTCAGTTGGCTGCATGAAATTAATATCAAGTCTTTCTATCAGGTAATATTAGAACAGTAAGCCGCCATTATATACGTCATGGAAATTTGATCGCACAATACATGCACAACTTTTCCTTTTTCTCCTCAGGCACATGAAACACTAAAAAATCTAGCTGTTGAGGAAGCTTCCTACTTAGGAAAGAAAAAGGTTATACATAATTGCTTCAAACGCTATAAAGTATTTATTATCATCATTGCTATCACTAGTATTATTATTATCATTGTTGTTGTTGTCGCATTAATATTTTCTATTTTTTTAAATACAGTACAACAGACTATATGATTAATACTTACCTTGTTTTTATTTTTGGTTTTTGGACAGACACTTTTGAGTCTCAGCAAGTTGGCTCTTTTAGCGTCAGAGCAAACTGATGAATCCAAGCTGGAAGGCAAGTGGTACTTAGTAAACGAGACTGTTGTTCCGTGTTCAATTTGTGGAACCAACGCCCGCTCGTGGGTTCTATCATGAATACGATTGTAGTCAGAGGAATTAAAATTTGGTCCATAAACCAGAATGGCCCCTAGACATAAAAACAACTGAAACGGTATACTGTATATGTTCTTCCTATCTCTGACTTAAGTACTAGTGATTGTGTAAAACGACGTGAGCAAGAACGAAACTGTGCTTTCCCCTCTAACACTCAACAGCATAAAGAAAACTATAATTCTGGTGTGTTATATACCGTAAAATCTCCGAAAATATAAAGCCCCTCCAAATATAAGCCCCCCAAACCGCTATCCAAATATAAGGCCCCCGGGGGGGCTTGTACTTAGAAAATTGCCCTCAAATACAAAGTAAAACAAAGTAAAAACGGTAAATTTACTTCCAACTATAAGGCTAGCCCAATCGATTTTGAAACGAAAATAAGCCCCTCCGAATTTAAGCCCCTCTAAAAGGGCCTCTGAAGAATATAAACCCCAGGGCTCGTTTTCGGAATTTTACGGTACCCTTTCCCTTCTTTAGTAAGTTTACTCAAGCAGCAGTGAAACTTCAGTTCGTGTAGTGTGGTAAAGTAATGAAACGTTTTTTATTTAGAGATCGTAACAGAGCAGGACATCATACTACATCAGGAAACACTTCCATCTGCAGTTTTACAGGTGAACAAAGTGGTTATAATTATAAGTTTACTCTAAAAGGGGCTCATTAGAGCTGAGATTTTCCAGTTTATCCGTTTTAGTTTCAAAAACATGGATGTTGTTATGGTGGGCGCACTCCTTTCCAACGAATAATGTTCTTACAGAGGCATTCTTGACGAGGCCAAGTATAGACTGGAGGGGATCTGCAGCATTCAGGACAATGCTGTGTAAAAAATATTTTTGTTGTTTAAAACGAGAAAGATATCATACAGTAACCCGCAAAAGTAACAAGCTATTTGAGAGAAGGAAAAATCCCTTTAAATCTCATTGTATTGAAGCCATAGAGAGATAAAATGTGTTACAAAAACTCATAAAGAAAAAACAAATTGAAGAAATAAACATTAAAATGTTTAATGAGTGTGCTAAAGACACGGCTAAACTATATGTCCAGTTTTTTACACCAAAATAACCCCAAATCTAAATATTAGTGCAAGAATGAGTTGATCGATATCAGAGATTTTGAAGCCTTGAGTTTTTAAACCTGATAATACCCTCCCGCTCGTCTATTAAACAGTACTTAACATGTATAGCAGGGACCTTGGACAGATACCATAGCCTCCGTCATTGATGTTCAATTAATATGCAATAATTCACCTTGCTGTAATGAGCTAAAAGGACGCCCGGCCTTACGCCGAGGCATCATTAGCCTCAACAATCAAACCAAGCAGTGCAGCCTCAAGGAATTGGCACTTTATGCTAAATTTTTTAAATTACAAACTCTCATTTTTTTATTAATGTAATTTTTCATTCAAAAAGTTATCGCCTAGGGACAGCTTTTAAATTCATAGATCATAGACAGTAAGGAAAAGTAACTTGTCCTTTTTAAAACTGAGTTTTTTTTATTTCCTTTAGCAAGCTGGTATGGATGTTGACTGCATGGCCCCTCTTTCTCCTACTCATCTTATTGAGGTAAAATCTCGCTGGTTCTGTTTGTATCGTCCAAATTTATAATGCAGTAATTTTCTATATTTATGTCAGTCAATCTGTCGGTTAGTGAGTAGGTATGCTATCCTGATATCAAAACCATCCAAAATATTATAAAGATCATTTTAACAGTAGGCTCCGGCCTACGTGCCGCATGGCCCCTTCGCCGCTCACATCCACTAAAGTTTATTCCACTTCAAGCATTGTGCGACCCGTATAAATTCAGGTTTTGGCCTAGCGCGACCAATGATTAAAATAACTTACTTGAAACAAATAGCAACTTTGGACACCTTTTTCACAGTTTTCACAGGCTTTGCAGTACACGAACCTGCGTCATACTTTACATGGCCGTTTAAAATGTGTACCGCGGCGGTCTTCATTGTGCTCACCAAAGAGCTACATATTACTCCTGGCTGAAGAACCTATATTTAGAACCAGTGGTTTATTGCATTATTGAAGGCACTAATTTGATCTTTTTCCAAAATGTGGTCAGATTAACATTAGAGACCTTTAGATTAGTGCACGCGCGTGAACTAGCAACATTTTGGCAGGAAAACGCGATAGTCGTCGTTATTTTACCTGGGACTACTACAGGTTTTAGCGAGAATAATGAACTTAAGCGATGGAGCGTTTTCACCTGACGTTGTTCTGTCGCACTTTATAATAAAATTGTCGCACTTTGTGATACCTGTCGCACTTTGTAATAAAAGAGCTGTCGCACTTAGTAATAACACCTTTCGAACTTTGTAATAAACTTGAAAAATATGGTCGGAGGACAAGTATCATCATCGGCGACAACAAGAAACAACATGCAACAACAACACCAACAATAATAATAATAATAATTTTAATAACAACATTCCACTGAACGGTTTTCAGCACCAATTTCTCAAGTGGGGGCGGAGGAAAGTACTCACATCAACTGCGTCCTTCCGGCTTCAAGGTCTTTGTAGGAAAGTACAACTATTTCTATGCGGACGACATCGGGACCATGAGATAGTGTCCATAACAGCTAGAGTCCGCATTGATGGGATTTTGTATTGGAATTTAGCTGCTATCTGTATTAACGGGTTTTCCATAAAAGTAAGGTGTCCTTGACTGCTTTAGAAGTAGCAGGGGCAACGAAGAAATCCGGTTTCATTACCTGCGAGGACATGACCAGAGATATGAGATTTTAGTGTTTATTGCCATGATTAAGCGCTATCACAATACCGTAAAATTCCGAAAATAAGCCCCCGGGGAGCTTATATTTGGAGGGGCGATTGAACGGAGGACTTTTTGCGTTACGAGTTTAGGGGGCTTATACACGGAGGGGCTTATTTTCGGAATTTTACGGTATTTCATAGGATCAAAAAAAACAGAAACATCGAACACAACACGGTGCCAAAATCATTATCATCATCAGACAATCATAATCATCATCATCATCATCATCATCATCATCATCATTCTTAATCCTGTCATTATCGCACTATTGCATATCGTTTGCTCACGTCATTGACTGCTAAAATTTTGTGGAAATTCTGAATGCGCTAGAGCCAACATGAAACGAAATAGATTCATAATAATCAGAAAATGCGACATCTCAAAGTGTGGCCCAGCTAAGATAACCAAAAGTAAAAAAAATCCAAACATGAAAAGCAAGTCTTAAGTACAATGATACTAACAAAAGATCTCAGGCTCGAACGTTTATGCTCAAGTTTCATCTTCTATGTAAGTTGTAACTAAGCATTTTTCGCCTTTTGCTGCCACACGTTCTTTTTCTCTAGCTAAATATTGAGGTGTCTTTGCTTAGAGCTTTGAAGTATGTTACTTGTTTCGCCAAGATATGTCGGTGATAATAAACCAACACAGTACCATTCAAGCATTCGCCCATTGTTAATTTGAGATTATTCGCCGTAATTCAAACACGACACCACTTGAAGGCCCAAACATTCTTATGAGTATATTTTTAACGCTGACATTTCCTGCTACCCCGCCACAGGAGAAGTAAATACGCAGCAGAATCTGAAAGGCCATCCTATAGGTCACGAAAACGAGTATTAACTTGACATCTGTGGGTAGGCCATGAAAAGGTTCCAGATCCTTCTTTAACAATGAATGACGTCATTGTTTAAGATAATTAAATGTGTTTGCCAACTTCTTGATTTTGTCAGACACCTTACTATTTTAGTATTTTTCGCATCGAAGGAAAAATTACGGAATTGGATTTTACCAACAAATTCAACAACATAACTTCATAATGACATCAAATTACTTCATTGTGTCAAATCAATGCCTAGATGGTCGGGAAATAAATAGTAGATTATTTTGTGTTATTGTGGTGGCCGTTTTATGAGTGGCCCTTTAATAATCATCATGAAACATCCTCAATAATAATAACAATTAACAATTATTACTGTTATTGTTATTATTATAATTGTTGCTGTTGTTGTTGTCGATGATGATACTTATTATTGGGTTTACTTGTCCTCCGACGATATTTTTGAAGTGTATTACAAGGTGGGACAAATGTCATTACAAAGTGCGACAAGTGTCATTACAAAGTGCAACAAGTGTTGTTAGAAAGTGCGACAAGTGTTATTACAAAGTGCGACAATTAAGTGTTTTTACAAAGTGCGACAAGTGTCATTACAAAGTGCGACAAGTGTCATTACAAAGTGCAACAAGTGTTATTACAAAGTGCGACAAGTGTTATTACAAAGTGCGACAAGTGTTATTACAAAGTGCAACAAGTGTTATTACAAAGTGCGACAAGTGTTACTACAAAGTGCGACAAGTGTTATTACAAAGTGCGACAGGTATTAAAAAGTGCAACAGAAGAGACGTCACGGCGGTCATGTTGGTGTTCCAAACCAATCCTGTGTAGTGGAAGTTGAATTTCTTTCTTATGTAAACGCTTTTTTTGTTCCAATAAGTTTGCAGAGATGCTGGCCAAGTGAGCGAAAACACTCTATAGGACACCAGAGGAAAGAACAAACTTCACCTTCCTTTAAACAGAATTTTTAGTAAAAGACCAGAACACAGTAATGCCCGATGGGGTACTCCTGGGAATTCTTGGTGGGAAGGGCTACCCGGTCTCCAAATCCTGACCCTACTTCAGACCAAAAAATGTAATTTCCCACACCCGTTTTCAGACTAGACCGCTAAAATCCATACCGTTTTCAGACCTGGCCTTTCGGCAGAAATTATGTTATCATTACTTAGATTAGTGCACGAACAAAAAATTCTTCAAATCCATTTCGAATTCACACGTTTCTCCTTCTTTCTTACCCACTTGGAATTGAAACGATAAATACGTTCATACACTCCGACCCGTGGTTCCCTCAAAAACTATACCCGATTCCAGACCAAAATGGGCAAAGTGTACACCCCTTTGCAGACCAAAACGGCGCAAAAACCCTACCCGATGGGGCGGCACATACCTACATAGCTTATAAAAAGGAGTAATGCTGAGTGCAGATCACAAAAAAACACGCAAGTAATAGCCCTTTCACATTTGTCACACACAGCCGTTTTGCCGTATTCCTCTTTCTACCTTGCTGTTGCGTCAAGCCCACTAATGTTTTAGTGGCGGGAACAAATCATCAAATGTTAGAAGTTTTATTATTTTACGATCAGGACAGGGCTTAACATCCTTCAGTAAAAAGAAACGCCCAAATTTGTCTGGTAAGAAAGCGGAAAATGAACCTTTCCTGGGTTTCTATATTTTTAAAATTAAAACACGTCAAATCAAATACAGTCGTCTTGGTAGTGGTCCTCGTCATCGGATCGAAAGGTCTCGAATAGCTGCGCTTAGAGAACAAACTTTCGTGGGTGCGTTATTCTTTTGGTCCCGTCGAACGTTGGAAGTGACAAACTCACTACTGTTTAATACCGTTTCATGTCTTAAATGAGGGTAACTTCTTTTAACATGTATGTTTGCTTTAATGATAATCGCAGCTACATATTGGAGAACAAAACCCAGGAGCCAATGAATACGATTTTAAAAGAGCTCTGGATATTCTTCATCTAGCCACAACGGTAGATACATCTTCTTTTACTTACAGTACATTTTTTTTTCGTATGAAATGAGAGCTGGTTAACTTAAGTGGTTAAAACTAGACGTTCCTGGTTTTCATCAGTGTTTTGATTGTAATGTTTTCAACAGAGTGGCCGTTATGGCATGGATACTGCAGCGCTCAAGCTTCACATCTGGTGCAAAGCTCTTCTTAGAGACGAGTAAGATGAGTGATTGTCCAATTGTAGTTGTTTTCGACAACAAGTGACTTTTTAACAACCAAACAGGTCTTTAAAAGGAAAAGTTAATATAAAGAAGTCGCATGAGGTTTGTTTCGTCGACTTCATGTCATCAGTCAGGGGCACCCAACGAGGATATAGTTCAAAACCACTTAACATAGCATTGTTGAACGTATTTTAGTATTTAAACGGTAGATATAGGCATATTTTTATCCCCTAAAAACTTTTCATCTGTTCGGATTTCCTAGCTGAAAGTCTAGTGATCCGAAAATTATAGGGATCAAAACTTACCTTTTCGAAAATTTCAGCCGGGAAAAGGCTCCCGAAAATTCTAGGTGGCCTTTTTTAGGGTAAATATCCGTTTAAAATGAGCAATTATAGCATTTTGTAGATGTTCGAAAAATCCCAGGAGAGGCAGGCAAGCAAGAAATTTTACAACAAATGTTCCGAAAATTCTAGTTCTCAAATCGTCTTCCGAACAGATATTTTCCCTGATCAGTGTCAAAAGTGAAGAAATTAGAGTGCAATATATGAATACAGAAAAGGAATGCGCATGAATTCGAGTACACGTAATGAAATTCAAGCGGGAAAATGGAGAAAGTAATGGACAATTTAATTATAAGTTTCTCTTTGATGGAGGCCGCCCGAGTGTTTAGTGTCGGTCTTTGTACAATTGACGTCAGTTCTATTGCTATCGGCAAGTTGGTCAACGGTCGCTGGAGAATTATCTGGGGAATTGAAGCTAATCACCTCATTTTGTGGATTTGTCACTGAAAATGGCTTATTTCACCTTTCTGACCTTTGATATCTTTTGTATATCCACAGTTATTTTATACTTTCATTTGACACTCAGTCGCAATCTCGGCTGAGGTTTTTGTGGGTAATTGTTTTACATGAATGTTTTCTAATCTAAATGGTAAACATAACTGTTTATGTTTTTGTCTACAGTTGGGGTTCCTTTCCGGCTAAAGATCCTTTATTGACTGCCAGGAATACTGTTTTCTTCAGAACTGTTGAACTTGCTTATAATCAAGGTACGTTATTTTATGGTGGCGGCTTACTGCCGATGTCATTGTGAAGCGTTTATGACAATTTTTAAAATTTGAACAGAAGGACGACTCGCTTAATACGGACATTGTCCATGGTCCACTCAATGTTCGTTTTGAGTAGGTTTGAATGTACTTAATGAGTATCGCGATAGCCTCGAGTACGAAACTGGAGATTTGCTCTTATAAGGGAGTTTCTTCGCCTACCCAGGGTACCCCGGCCAGTTCCACCGAAAACGGGCCCTACTAATGCTAGTTCTTTCCTGGCTTTAAAATAAGTGGCGCGAACAAGCAACTGATGACTTGCAACCAAATATTGGTGTGGAAATAGTGCCACCCTTACTTGTTGACGTAAAAGTTCATTCTTACCTTGTACGAATAACAGGTTTCTGTTGGTTTCATTTGATTGCTAAAATCGTTTCATTCTTGCATTTCAATTGCTCGTTGAGTTGTTTGTTGGTTTGCTGTCTTTGCTTTGATCCACCACTAATAAGGATCATTTTTTTATATAGTTGATAGGAATTCATATCGAATAGCTTTTAAAAATTCTTCTCGTAATTATTATTTAGTGTCGAATCATTGTTTATTATTATTATTATTATTATTATTATTATTATTATTATTATTATTATTATTATTATTATTATTATTATTATTATTATTTTTATTATTATGATCATCATGATTATTATTTTACTTATTTTATTGTTTATTATTATTTTTGCTAACTGTTTCCAGTGTCGCTTGTTTCTAGGTATAGAGCTGGAAGAATTTATGCCTTCTTTGGAGAGTTTGTTCGAAGCAGAGCAACTAAAAGATGCTGGGCTTTCTGAAAACCCACAGTTTCGTTACCTTCTGAAGTCTGGATATGAGCAAATAAATAGAGTCGCAGCTGTGGTTAGCATTTGAGTCGTGCCTTGTCTAGAAGCAGCGTTTAAACATTGAACTGTAAAATAATTACACTCGTACAAAGAGGAAAATAAGAACGAGAACTTTCAGTACTTGCTTGCTTGCTTGTTTGCTTTACTTTCTTAAAATTTACCTGCTGTTAGTCAATAGCTTATTTACCCAGCACTTGTTTTATTTTTCTCCTTGAAAATTTTGTTCATGTTTTTCGTTAGGCTCGCGTAAAACAAACGCAAAATGACCCATGTGCCCCGTCTCAGTCACACCAGGAAAGAATAGCAATGACTTACTTTACACGTAGGAGTTATATTGTACACTCCATGTCGGACTGGAAATGGCAATGGATAGTGTTTATTATTTCAGCGACATCTAGGAAGGTTACACCTACGGTGTTCGAGGAGTATCACAAATAAAATTTACTATGTCTGATTCTTTTCTTGTCTTCTATGATTTTGATATCTTGTCTATGATTAAAAGGAAAAATCCTTTTCGTTTTTATTGTGTCATTTTGATTTTAAATTTGTCGCGTTTGATTTCTCCAATAACAATTTTGATTTTGAAAGTTTGTCGCGTTTGATTTCTCAAACGCATTTTTTATTTCCAAAATTTGACGCGTTTGATTTCTAAAATTTGGCGCGTTTGATTTCTCAAATGACACTTTTGATTTCCAAAATTTGTCGCGTTTGATTTCTCAAATTTGACGCGTTTGATTTCCAAAATTTGTCGCGTTTGATTTCTCAAATTTGTCGCGTTTGATTTCTCAAATGACACTTTTGATTTCCAAAATTTGTCGCGTTTGATTTCTCAAATTTGACGCGTTTGATTTCCAAAATTTGTGGCGTTTGATTTCTCAAATTTGTCGCGTTTGATTTCTCAAATGACACTTTTGATTTCCAAAATTAGACGCGTGTTGATTTCTCAAATGACACTTTTGATTTCCAAAATTTGTCGCGTTTGATTTCTCAAATGACACTTTTGATTTCCAAAATTTGTCGCGTTTGATTTCTCAAATGACACTCGAGTTTGATTTCCAAAATGTCTCGTTTTCTATTACTAAATGAACGCTTATGTTTTCCAAGTGTGTTGAGTATGCTGTCTGAAATGCGTGCTTGATTGTTAATCTTTTCCCAACCGATATCTTAAACAAATGTTTGATTTCCAAAATCAGGTCGTTTGATTTCCCAAATGGTGTTTCTGATTTCGAAAATAGTATAATGAGATAGATATCTACCCACGTGACAGGTTAAGTGGGTGCAATGCCCCCTCATGGGGAAATAATAGCCTCAACCAGATTGTAGCATTCAGCGGTTTTGGTGAAAACAAGGGTCAGTGGGTCGGAATGCTCAGTCTCGCGGGCTCATAAAACCTGGGCTCGGTCACAGTTACTTAAGGATTTTTCATTTAAGGCCGGGGACATTCAGTTCTACTGATCATGGCAGAACGAGATAGAGAGGGCGTTTTTCGAGGAAGTTGTATCAACCACCCGCCTCACAGATTTGGCGGCTGTGAAAGGTTCGTTTTGGGTGATGGAACGTCCAAGTGCAGGACATGCAGCTGCGTTGCACGTTCCCACGTAAGTACAAGGCATTTCATAGGCTGAATTCGTGTAGACCGGTACCTCAAATAATTATTCGTCTGTCCTACAAGGGGCTTTAACCAGGTCTTGGAATTTAAACTAATTACTTGGACCGATTCCCTCTTTCGCGCACAGTATGTTCCGAGATCTGAAACACTGATTTTTTAAATTATGTTTTTTCTGTCAGTTTCTTTGGACACTTTTTGTGATCTCACATATACACCCAGTGTGCAACTCCATTTTTTAGTTATGCCATCCTGCTCAGTCTAAAAACTAAAACAAAAAACAAAAACAAAAAAACAGGTAATCAGACCAAGTGATCTGGCAAAAAATTAATGGTAGAGGTAGGGTGTCTGTAAAATGAGTAAATTTAAATGCGAAGCTGTTTGGGGTCGCTCTCAAACACGCTAAGTACTTAAAAATTTAATCTGTTGTAAAAATCCCTAAGTCCTACTCATCTTTGGTTAAAATGTTCACTCCAATCTTCAAAACCGCATCATCGAAGACCTACCATACCCCCAAAAAATGAAAATCACTGCGGAAAAATTTAAACCCAATCACATACAAGTCTTGTAATAAAAGTATAGTTTAAGAGAGGCACGTGGAGTTTCGAAATTTTGTCACTTTACACCGTCAAAAATTTTCGAGACCCGACACTTGTTCCACTTGATCAATCGTTTTAAATAGATTTAGGGACGGATAATTGGATATGTTGTCAGGCGACGGGTAGGCTTAAGCCTAGTGATTTTGTTTTAAAGGGTGTTAAAGGGTATATGTTACGAGGAGATTGCTGTTTTAGGCCAATCCTATGCAGTGTATTTACCCTTACACAAAATGCTTCTGTGGACAAATTTATCAAACAATTTTCCTTTGGGAACACTGGCCAGAATAATTTTGGGGGTGCCTTTTTTGCAGGCATAGGTTTAAAACTCAAGATAGTTAGCCACTCACTCATGCCACCTGTTGCCATCCATTGCAACAGATAGCATGGGCAGGAAATAATTTCAATGCCTATATAATACCGTAAATCCCCTCAAGTACCTTTGACGGGGCACGTAAATGTAACAGAGAAGGGGGTGCTTATTGGCGGTGGGGGTTGGTAATTTACTGAAGTGGAGAATCATACTGCGCGTTTAGTTTTCTTTTTAGGTTTCTTTTTGCTTTTTTTATAGAGTTGCGCCTGTTAAGCATTTCTGGTTTAGGAGGATTCGCTAATTCTAGTATAACTGGAATTTTAGAAAAATTAGCTCCACTCCCCTTGGCAAGGCAATTTCGTCACTTACAGCAAGATGGCTTATCAGGTCATCACTACAAAAAAGAAAAAAAACACCCTGTGTGAAAACCGGGGGGGGTTTTCGACAAAGTTTTATACCGGGAGGTTCTGCCCCGAGGTCCAATCCCTGATATACCTCTTTTAGTTACCCCTTTCGTGCACCTTCTATTGAGAATACTCGTTGTTGACATACCTTGATTAGAACTTTGCATCGACTTTATAAAGCCATAAAATTCACCTGTTAGCCCTTCTGGGCCCTTTCACGGACCCAAATGACAGATGTCTCTTCCCTTTCTTAAAATACTTCAACTAGTGAAATCCCTACCTTTTCATATACCTGAAGCCTTAAAAAGATACTCTTTCCGCAGAAGCCTCCCCGTATAGGCCATTATAGGGAGTATCCCCTCCCCCAGGTGTAGAAAGAACTGGCATAGAGCGTGAACAAGTCGTTAACATACTTAGCGCAAACATCATATTCGGACTAAGTCCCATTCCTCGCACATGTCATAATTTTTTTTTTCGGTTGCAGTAAGTAACGTTGTCGTTGTCGAGGAAACAGATCTTTTCTTGATTAATGCTCTCGATACCGTAGCCGCTTACGAAAATGCTATTGTCATACTCAGGTTGCCTTTGGTCCCTGTACCCGACACAGCTGTGGCGGGTATGATGAACTACCGAGTGTCTCAGGAGAATGTTGTAATTGTGGGTGTGTGCCATCAAAGCATCGAGGTGATTATCTTCTCTTTAAATGTTCTCAAAACACAGCCAAAGTCTTAAAGTGTTAACGATGCTGACAGTTTCGATGACTGTCAGCCATTTTTGTTAAAACTTGGAAATCGTTAAAGGTGTCAGAAGCCTTAAATAGGCTTCTGAAGGTGTTAATTATTGCGATAAACGCGCCAAGTCACTCGGTAGACGCCCCCGCCCCTGGTTTGGGGGTGGAGATCACTTGTGTCCATATGGGAGAAAGCTGATAGGCTCCCTCGTCCCTGTTCATAGTAGGAGTGTTCGATCTAATACATATGCTTTCCTAAAATTATCTTCTACAATTGAATTAAGACAACTGCACAAATGTAATTCTACATCTCTTGTTTTATTTTATTTTTAAAAGCTGGTATTATTAAAGAGTATAGTTACTTTTATAATTAATTTGTTGTTTTTTTTTTTCATATATATTGGATAAATAGTGTAATTGATTAAAGGCAGCATTGATTAACAGCAGTATCGTAGTGTATCGTGTATACTAATCCCATGTATTATTACGTTGTTCAGTGGTAGAAGTTTGTTATTAAAAAGAAAATACAAACTCAAATAAAATAGAGGGGATGTATGAAAGGCTGCGCGTAAAGGTAGCAAGGGACCCATCTTTACATGAACGCGCGACCTTTCATACATTGCCTCTGCTTTATTTGCGCTCGTTAAAAAACGGAATGTTGAGAGTTTTTGTAAGAATGTCTCCTATAATGTGGTCATTCTTCCAAATCGGATGCAAATATAGTACCATATAAAACACGATAAAAGTTACGTTAGAATAACCACACACTTTTTCTCTCCTCGACGCTTATTTTTTTTTTTTTTTGTTCTGTTTGTCATCAGCTATCACGACGTCCAGCTCGCAGCCCCTAGAAAAACGTGGTACTGTGAAAGGTTTTACTTCCCAAATTTAATTTAATTTAGGTCCAACGGTTGCGTGAAAGGCGGATGTGGAAAAAAGGGCACGCGACAGTCCTGAAGAGGCATTGTGGGTCATTTTGAGACATTTGAAAGAATGGCACGAGAGGCATTGAAACACCGGAAATGATCGATTAAGCGCCGCATCTTTACCGAGGATAATCCATTAGGCGGTGCTGGGCGCGTTGAATTTACTCTTGAACCGAGTTTTTATAACAGTTCGAGGTTTACTTATAGTATAATAAATTATGCATTCCTAGTACTCGCTTCATTTAATTCTCTCTCGGTGTTTTACCCGTTGTTGAAATAGCACCGCTGTCGTTTAAGGTAAAATGAAGTAAGCGCCTGTTTGCGAATGCTAAAGGAATGCAGCAATAAAACATTCAACGGGTAACAGTGTCAGGAACAGCGTTTTGATTATATCCCATGAAACCTTTTTAATTGTCGCTGGCACATTTTGTCAGCGTTTGTCGAAGTAGTTGTATATACCTCACTTTACCCGTTGTAGCGTATGCAGAGAAATTTATTATGCACTGATTTCTATATGTATTTTTGATTGTCGTAGCTGCCACTGGAACCCAGCTATCGTCGTCTACTTCAACTCCCTCCACAACTTTCACATTAGAAGGTAATTCTAATGTAAATTGTTACTCCCAATGTAATACAGTTCATTCATTATTGGAGAGGATAGTATATTTCAGTATATTGCTTTGCTATAGGAATGAACCTAACAGGTGTCAATAAAACATAGTTAGCGGTCCATGTTCTCCACACAGATCAATCAGAAAGGACCGATGAGGAAGGAAGAAGATGGAAGCACATTCAGCAATTGGCAAAAGCAAAGAGAAACGAGCAGCTTGATGCGAATCCACCAAAGCGACAATGTCGCAAGCCGGGTGGTGGTCGTGGCGGACAAAGGCCAAATTCCGGACGGAAAAAAAGCATCCCTAAAGTGAGTTATTGGGTTTGAAAAAGTTTATCAACTTTCCCGTTAATGATGGTAGCGAGTGGAGTGGTCTAATTGGCGACAATGAAAAGACCATGTGTGTGTTGTGTAGTGCGTTCCATTTTTCAAATTATATGTGGTTAGGCGTCCTCACGAGCTTTCATCAGTTCATGCTGCTGAAACAGATAAGCAGGCCTGGACCTATTTATCCTTTCTTCCCTGCCGTTTTCGCCAAATTTGAGGTATGATTGAGATGTTCATTTTGCCTCTGACATGCTTTCAACCAAGATTTGGCGTTCTGTAATATAACCATTTTTATTTTGAGGCGTCGAGAGTAAAATTCTACACAAGTCTCTTTAAAATGCTAATTGGGGAAATTAAAATTTACCTTTACAGGAAATAACAGCGACCCCTGTAAAACTTGTATCCCGTCGTTTGGGCAAGTACCAGGCGAATGGACCTAAAGAATTTGTGAGTAGTCGAAAAATGTTAGCCGGATATTATTATTGTTCGCTTTATGGGCATAAGGAAGCATTTACTTGGAACATTGTACAAAAGATCCACACCGCGTATAGTCATCTCTAATCATTCAGCGTTTAATTATTATACTATACACTACTGGGTACATAATAATTTCGTCAACCTTGTCAAAAGGAGACTAGTCTCCAAGCCGAGGTGCCCCTGATAAAATCAGGGTGAGCGGCTAATCGGCAGTCGCTCCCGATACCTCGACAATCTGCGGCTTTGTACCACAGGAACACCAAGATTAGGATGTGTTCTGACGAACGCGAATAAAAAACATGTAGTCTCGAGTGCATCTATCGTGCACACACAAACAAAGTGATAACGATAGACAAGATGACCGACTAACACAATAGGTGCATGGTATGGACTGACTTGCGTTGTAAACCACTTTTGTGCCGTGTGATAGCTTTTAAACATATAAAGGTATTGATCCGCACTTTGCAGGTATCTTTGAGCGGTGTGGAAACTGGCACATCTGAAGGGCTGACTCTCCAGACCCTGGAGAATGTCATGCTTGGGCACTTCTTGGGGCTTACAAGAGAGCAGGCTGTCGATCGCTACCAGTTTTACATCCTCAAGACGATTCGGGGACCAAAACTGACTATGGATAGTCATATCACGGGGAAACAGTTCTATTTCTACTGGAGAGCTGGAGTGGAAATGGTAAAAAGGCGGTTGGCTTGCTATATTTTCCTTTTATTCAAGTACTTTTCTAGGGAAATCGATCGAGAAAAGTGCGAGTTATCCGTAGTTGAAAGCAACTGACCGTAAATAACAACAACAACAACAACAAGTTTATTCAGTATTACCATTTTGTACAGGTGTTACCGATTAAAATAACAATAATAAACAGCTAAGTTTAAGGAAATACAGGTATGATGGAATAGTAGAATTAACTATGTTTCTTTCGTCTTTCAAATGCTTGAAAGATGAAATTAGCAGCTAGCCTGCTGATATGTGAATCAGTATTGTTAAAAAGAAAACAGACTTTATCATGGATATTGTAGTGTGTAAATAATGTATTTCGGTCGTTGATTTTAATAAAAAGAGTCTTTCTCAAATCATTGTATTGATCACAGTGAAATAATATGTGCAGTTCATTTTCAACCGAATTTTGGCTGCAATGATCACAGATTCTAAGGTCTTCAGGAGTTTTGGGGATTGTAAATCTTCCAGTTTCTATTTTTAAATTATGATTTCCTATCCTAAATTTGGAAGCTACACGCCTATGTTCAGGATTCCGGATATGATCGATGAATTCAGAGTGATTTGTTTCATTTTTAAAGATGGAGTAGAATTTTAGTTTTTTATTTGTTCTGATCAAATTTAGCTGGTGGTTTTTCAGATGTTTTGACAAAGTATTCTCAGCTTTGGATAGGAAAGTAGAAGGGTTTTTAAAGTTAACTGACTGTTTGTGAATATTAAGTTGTGTACTCAAAAGATTTATTTTATTTATTAGACCTGATTTATTTTCTTCGGCCATTTTATCCGATATGTTTAAGCAGAGTTTAGCGATGCTGTCAGGGGGTTGATTTTCAAGGTGAATCCAAAATTTGAAAATGTTCATTGTTATTTGTAAATTTAGAGATAATCTACCAAGCTCATTTCTCGATGCAACATTCGGTGAACGTTTGTCTAAACCTAAACACATCTTACAAAAATGTATATGCGTTTTCTCAATCAAGTCTTTATCCCAGCGGCTATAATCACTTTTATCATAGATTCCCCAAACCTCAGAGCAATACGTTAAAATTGGGAAAAATAGTGTATTGAACAGTTTGTTGATGATGTGAATTGGTAATTTTAGAAAATCTAGATAACGACGAGCGGCAAAAAAGGATCTCTTTGTTTTTTCTGTTAAGTTTTCCTTGTGATTTGTAAAATTTCCATTGGCTGAAAATTTCACTCCAAGATAGGTATAGTTATTGACGATTTCAATGTTTTCATTGCTAACCATAAAATTGTGTTTATCTATTGCTGATTTTCTACTTTTCTTTTGAAATACAATAACTTTGGTTTTAGTTGGATTAATCTTAAGAAGCCAATCCTGACAATATTTTGATAGTCTGTCAAGACTTTGTTGCAAACCTTCTGCCGAGGTAGATATTAGAAGTAAGTCATCGCCATAAAGTAGACAGTTGAAGTGAGAACCATCTGGTAGTAAGATAGAATCTTTAGCATTGTTATTTAGAATGAGGGTAGTTCGTTTAGATAAAGGTTAAATAGAAGCGGCGACAGAATACAGCCTTGTCGTACACCTTTATCATAGTTGAAAAAAATTCTGATCGAGTATAATTGTCTTTCACACAACATATTGAATTTGAATACATGCTGGAAATTATTTTGTAAAAGGAGCCACCTATGTTATATTTCAACAGTTTGTATAGTAAACCTTGGTGCCAAATTGAGTCAAATGCCTTTTTAAAATCAACAAAACAAGTATAAAGTTTACCTCTGGGGGAGTGGGTAACATGTTGGTCTATTAATGTTCTTAAACTAAAGATATGTTCGGACGCACGATGTCCGGGCACAAAGCCAATTTGGGAGCGATGAAGTATTTTATGATTGTTTGAAAAGTTTAATAATCTCGTATTTAAAATAGAACAAAAGACTTTGCCAAGACAACTATTAATGCAAATACCTCGGTAATTTGAAGGGTCATCTTTGTTTCCAGATTTATGTAAGGCAGTGATTATTCCATTACTCCATGATGTAGGAAATGTTCCAGATTGTAGAATCAGATTAAAAAGTTTCTCAAGTGGATATTTTATAAAGCTTGAGCTTGTTTTAATCATTTCATTGCGTATTCCATCAAGTCCAGCGGCCTTCTTGTTTTTTAGTTTTTTAATTGCTTTATCAATCTCTTCAATGGATATTGGGTTGTCTAATTCCGATTGTAAATGGTTGCTGTCCTCCAAACGCTTTTTATCGTTTAACATGTGTATTTGAAATGCCGATAATGTATTAGGATCAGGTGCTGAGTGTAGCATTTTAAAATGATCATAAAGTTTATTGGTCGGGTTTTCGTTATTATTATAAGACAAGATGTTTTCGTTCATTGACTTTAGAGTATCCCAAAATTTGCGGTTATTTTCGTTACTAATCAGCTCATTTATTTTAGAGTCAACAAATTGTTGTTTTTTTTTTTTTTTATAAGTTTTTAAAGGTTTTATTTTGAACATGATATTCTTTTCTGAGTTCGGTATCCAGAGGATTGCGGTGTTTTTTGTTAGATAACTTTTTAAGTGAAGATCTTAACGTTTTGCAATCATAATCAAACCACTTCTTAGTAATTGGCTTTCTTTTAGATTTCTTTTGGCTACTTAATTTGAGTGAACGTTTTGCGGCCTCAGTCATAATGTTTGTGAATTGATTGGTAGCATTTTCAACATCTGTACTGCTTAAATCGAAGTTTGTACTTTCGAAGAGATGTAATAAAGACAGAACAGCGTCGGAACGAAAGGCAGTAGTGAATTTTGCTGCAGACGTTTCGTCCCAGACATACTGTTGTGGAAGCTTAACGTTGTTTCTCTCTTGAAAACTGTTATTATTATTTGAGAGGTCTGCACCAGTTTTGATCCAGCAGACAATTTGAGAGTGATCTGAAAATATGTTTGGTTGCTTTACGGCGAAACCTTGAACCGAAGTGAACAGGTCATGGCTAACGATAATATAATCTACAGTACTTATTCCATTAATAGAGTGAAATGTGAATTTTCCTAGGGTATCTCCCTTCGATCGGCCGTTTAGAATCCTTAGATCACAGGTTTTACAAAGATCAAGTAATTGTTTTCCATGATCGTTGACAATGTTATCAAAGTTCTGTCTTTTAGTGAGATTGGGTGGTGGAGGAATGTCTCCGCCAGGTATAAACTTGCCACTTTCATCCGTGATAAAATCATTTTCTTTTCCAGTTCTAGCATTAAAGTCACCGGCTAACACAATTAAACCTTTTCTGTGAAATAAAGCTATATCTGTTTCAATGTTGGAGAATAAATCTGGGCCAAAATATGGTGAGTCGTGGGGAGGAATATAGAGGGCACATAGATAAACATCTTGTTCTAAATTAAAAAACGTGTGATTTAGTTTACACCAGATATAATTATTATGTGATTTAACAAATGAAATGCCACTTCGTAAATAATTCTTGTACCCTAGGACTAAATCCCCTGAAAGTCTTCCAGTTTTCTTTTTGTAAGTTTTTTGGGCTGCGTTTGAAAAAGTGTTAAAGCCAGGAATTTGCACGTCATCTTTCATCCAAGATTCAGTTAAAATTACAATGTCATGTTTATTTATATGATTGATGAATTCTTCATTTGTTAATTTGTTCCCAAATCTTAAACGATCAGTTAACCCATGAACGTTCCAGCAGCTAAGACTAAGTATTGATTTACGACTTACACTTAAAGGCGAACGGCAACCGCTGAAACACATTTCCAAATCGGGGTATCATGACGGGGTGTACGCTCAAAATAAGGGAGATCAAAAAAATAAAATAAAATAAAATAAAAATAGAAATGAAAATAAAAGATAAAAAAAAAAATTAATAATAATATAATATAGTAAAATAATAATAGTATAATATGTTGATATATGTAAAATAAAGTAATTAACTATAAATACCTTAATTTTGACGCATTGTTTAAATAAGGAAATAGATAAATGGAATGGGGCGGGAAATGCAAGTATCATGCACACTTCACTTCAAGAGCAATGACAACAACAACAAAACTTTATTAATAAACAAATAAAATTACAGAAGTATTGCCGGTAGCTAGTAAGGCTTTTGGAGGCTGGAAAAGGAAAGTTTACAGTTTACAAATAAAGAAAATAAAAATCGTAATATGAAGGAGGACTAGATAGCAGACTAAAAAAACAAAAAAGAATTGAACTACTTAGTGGTAAAAGTAGAAACTAATAGGCAAGAATTTATTTTTCGACCTTTTTGGCTACTTTACCTTTTTAACTAAGGTGGGCGTATCAATATAACCAGTTTGGTGCCGCGCTTGCCACATGTCGTCAGTGACTGGAATTTCTTCAGTTCATTCTTTAGATCTTGGATTTCTTTTCGTAACGCTTGCTTTTCTTTCTTTAGTTTCTCAGTTCCGGTGATAGTTGAGAAAAAGTTATAATGTTTAGAAGAAATGTAATAAGAAACCGGAGTGATCGAGAAAAGGTCCGACCGTGAGTAGGTTTCCAGTACCAGTCTCCCAGAGCAGCAACAGATATATTGATGTTACCGACAAAGGAATAAAGCAACAACGCTTTTTCAATATAAACTGGTAATCTCGACTGTGTTGTTGACTAGCTAGGATTCGATTAATAGTAAAAGTTTTTTGGCAAAACTAGGACATCTTTATGACAATGTGCCGAGACACTAGACTCTTAATTCAATTTTAACTACAAACAGTTAATATTATTGGAGACAAAGCATGTGACAAAAAGTGTCATTTGTTTCAGGATTCATCTGACGAGGAGGAAGCGATGCGCGATAGCCTGGATCCACTTCCAGAGCTGGAATCGGAGCCAGTAACATCACTCTCGGCCTCAAATACTGCTGCTACCAACGCACCTCTGAGAAGTGTACGCAGTCCAGCGCCGTCCGTAGTGCTGAGCAAGAAAGCGACAGATCAGAGGCGCAGAGGTCAATTGAGAGGTTTAGCCCTGGCAGTGCCATCCTCGTTACCAGTCAGGCCATCCGCTGTGATCAACTTGGGAAAGTCGATCGCACTACCGCCAGTCAGGCAAACTGGTAGGAAAAGCAAAATTGTCGTATTTGGAAATGATACTTAACAACCAGAAACGTGGGGAAACAAAGAAAAGGCTTAGAATACAGGCCTCACTTAATTGCCTTGTCCTATTTCTTAAATAATATAATTAATAATGATGATATATCGCTTATGCCTTTTTTTTTTGCAATTTTCTCAACTTTTCGTTAATACTTCTTTTTTCAAGGGTCTTCCTTTGCCCGGAATGATTGAACGGTGCCCTCCAGGTCTGGCAACAATTCCCACCCTAAGTGGAAATTGTTAACGCGCGTCAAGATGCTGTTGTCGAAGGATCAGTCTCTAATTTGATTCTTTTCTCCTGCACGTTGTAGAATTACCAGTGGCAATTACATCGTTCACGATCGCCAGTGATTGGGGCTCCATAGAGACCGAAGGACCACTTCACTGCGTTCTAGACGTGCAAGGATTTCCAGCCCAGCCGTTTGGATCTGGAACTTTTCAGAACGCCTTTAAGGCTACCTGCATCGTACCTAATAAATTTTTAGATTTGTCAGGAAGATACGTGTTGAAACAACAAAAACTGGAAGGTCCTTTGACCACTGAAGCGGTCGAAGATTTATCATCTGAGGACATGGACCTAATGGACGAGGAGAGCAGTAGGAAATCTGCCAAGGTACTATAGCCTGACATGCTATCTTTCAATGAATAGGTATATTACACGGACGACGATGTCCACTGAAAGAATATTTTAAAGTCCAGTCCGGAACATGGTTTGATCAGTGATTGAGTTTGGAACACGTTTAAAATCATCGCCGCCTTTTTAATGAGAAGGCTTACAGTTTGGCACTCAGTTAACGTTCTATTCTATCTTTGTCATATTCAATCCCCAGGCCTGTCAGATTTCAGCTGTTGCTAATGCCCTTTGCCAACACTACAATTTGAAGTGCAGGCAGATACCTGATTACGGCGAAGAAATAAGGTAACGAGCAAATGTCTTTGTCAGGGGTTCAGACAGCTTCGGTATAGGTTTGCAGAAATGAAATCTGTACATAGAAAAGATGCTTAGACGCAGTAGGGATCAGAGAATCCAGTGCTAGAAAGCACGCGATAAGGAATCGTGAAGGTGGTGGCGGGGCCTCTTCCCGAAGAGACATTTCAGAGATATTAAATCTTCAAATAATCGTGCCTTTTTTGAGAGTCCGGTTACAGCAGTATGTACCTCCGATGGCCATAGATCTGGCATGGCTTATGCCTATTGTTTGGCTCGGACCCTTCATTCAGTTTTTGTGAGTGTTGTGAATTGTTTCTCTCTTTTTTTAGGAAGAACTATCCTTATTCTGGCGAGATGAATTAAAATTTGTTCCAGTTTGTTTATAATTTTGCAAATACGCAATTTTAGGCTGTGTGTTGTGAATACCCCTTTCATATTGTATTAGGGTGTTACCATCACTATTTGTTAAGATGACCGGACAGTTTCCTAGTTGTGGGATTTTGGAACACGAGATAGAAGGAACTTGGCAAAAATTCCTAAACAATGACGGACTGGAGATGGGCGGTGAGGAGAACCAGTTCAAACTGAAGGCACTGGCGTTCGCACACTGGACTTTTAATAAGTTTGATGGCAGACTTCTCGACCTACAGGGTAAGTTGAAATTTCCCCACTTTCAAGAGAACCAGTTCCAACACAGCAACTGATTCACTTCTAAACAATCGACAGAGGCCAATTAAAGGAGACAGCTTTAAGCAGTTAATCGAGTTTAGTATAGTATTTCGCGAGGAGTAATCCAGTAGTACTAGTCAAATTAGCCAATGCTTGCCATTTCGACCATTTACTGAACAGAAATGTGTGCTTGTTAGGATATCTCGCTTACCATGTAAACACTTTTCAAACCTCTTTAGGAGCCGACTACACTTTGTCCGATCTGGAGATCGCTTCTACAGATGAGAGGTTCGTATGACTCATAAAATGAGACAGTAATACCTTTGGTTACAGTATTAGAGAGACTTCACTGAAAAATTGCAAAATGCTTCACCCCAATGAAATTAAGGGAATACAATAATATATTATTAATTAACGTTCTACTGGCGGAGTATTACAGAAAAGAGAAAAGTTCACAATTAAGAAGAGATACCCAAAAGCTATCTCTTTAACTATTTATGTGCCTTTTATTGGCGAGACCTGAAAATTTTTATTAGGCTGTGAGACTAGTAGATGTCTAAGGTACACAGAGTTTAGATGTTGTCGCTTTTTGTTGTTGTAAGCTCTTATTACAATATCATATTGACGACTATGGCTGTTACCCATACATACATATACATGTGAAAATGTCAAGGTCAGTGATTTTTAATATCAGTTTACTGCAAATATATTTCGTTGTAGGTTATTCGGGATTGGCAATCTTTCCTGTACTGCGCTTGAGGGATTCAAGTCAAGCCACCAATGTAATGTGTATTGCATTGCATTGGAGTTGTCTGGTGAGTATCTGCATGCTTCTTTTTACACTGGATCGAATCTTCCCATTGTTTATTCTTAAGAGACGAACGGTCCATGAAATGCACTCAGAACTTAGACAAGTTAAATAACTTACATCTTTAAGATTTTTTAATTGTTTTCCATAATGAGGGGCAAAAAACAAAAAAAAAAAACTATCAACTAGTCTTTCGAACTCCTTTCCCTTGACAGCTTTTGATAGATCAAGTAGAAAGGAAGAGAGCAATGGCAGTCAGGAGCGGCCTTTAGATCCGACAAGCCCCGAGGTAGGTGAGGAACTGAAACTATTGACTTACAAATTTCAGTCAAATGTCATAACTAAATAGAAATAACGTCCGAACAACGACCCTGATCAATCTATTTCTTGGCGGTAGCCGGCGCATATGAAAGGGAGAGGGGAAGTACCACTAAACATACTAGTTCCAAAAAAAGAGCGGGTACTTTTCATGCCCAAAACCTTTGAACACACCCTCGTTCGTTGTCGGCCTCGCATGCTGACGGAAAGACTTGACCAAAACCGAAGCCGCGCTTGAAAAGTCTATTACAACCCGGCGGGCTTACAACTAGGGTAATTTGAACTTGAAAGACAAGGAGATGTCATATGTAATGTTGTTTTTTCGAAATAAATGTTGTTTGTCACTAGAATGAAAGTACATGTGTAATTTCATATTTTGTTTCTTTATCTGTTAGGTTGTAACATTTCACCCGCGGCACGCAATAAATACACAAAATAATGAATAAATGGATCTTACAGGTGAGAACGTGTATACTCCGGCGCTGATCGTATTACGAACGGGATTTACTAGCTTCCGACAACTATTTTCAACCACCACACTTCAATAATTAACATAAATAACTAAACTTGATATCAGGCACTTGGTTCAGATTCCGCATACCCCAATTGCGAAGCGGGCCTCAATCTGTGAAGAAATTAATTTATCCCGGACCTCAATCCACTATATTGTGTTAAAACTCGTTCTCGTTCCCAGTCACCTCTGTTCCTTTAGCTGGCGAAGCAGGGGCAACTCCGGCGAGCAAAGTAAAGAGTCTCGGGATACACTAGATTCGTGGCCTTACGTTGTAGGACTAAGGTGTCGGCATATCCATCCATGAACACTTTCAACTTGCTGGCCTTGCCAGCAAGTAACCTTGTTATCTAATTGTCTTTTGAAAGCTTCATGACATGACCTATATTTTAATTGCAATTGGAAAATTGCTAGAAAGCAAGAAAACAAGAATCCACTGGCGAGGAAACTGGATGAAAAGCAAAATGCAGTGAAATGTTTAATAGATCATTTATACGAAATAAATTATGACTGCTGTTTTCTTGTATTCTTAGGTGTTTTTGCTAAGTTCAGGCGAAGAGGACGGCCTTCCTTCCCTTACGACATTAATGGCATCGGCAAAGGAACGGGAAAGTCAAACTACCGGCATACAGCAGCATCTTCCAAACAACAAGTTGGACTGTGGGATTTGTTTAAGCAATAAAATTGACGTGATGTTTTATAAATGCGGCCATATATACTGCTGCGAGAACTGCGCCTACAAGTTGAATGGGACTTGCCCCATATGTCGCCAAAAATATGATGAAATTGTCAAAATTTATCTGCGCTAACCTTAGTTATATATCAATCCCACTAACCATATACTACCTAATGAAGCGAAAAGGAGCTAAGGGACGAATCCTTCATACATGAGCCTCTTTAGTCTGCGAATACAGAAAGTAAAACCACTACTCTTCTGACGTGCGAATGAATACCGAATACCTATATTACTTAAAGATGCTGACCCTGTGTAGTCTGCCTTTAGGTTTTTTCAGTGTGTCAGTGTCCAACATTCGTTAGCTGTGAACGAGCCTAACGTTAGAAAATCTCAATATCAATCTCCTCTAGTCTTAAATCAAATTTTGAAGCCCATTGTCCGGCGGTACAAGCTACGTTTACTCCAAAGTAAATCACACGGGCCACTATCTCGGGGCCTGGAGCAGGCTAAGGTAGCGGCAGTGTACAGGAAGAGGCACAGAGTAATTTTTGGAGTGGATCATTTGAGATATTTTGAAAACATAAAATAAAGTTATCTTATCTTATCTTTAACATATTGTCTTAAATGTTGATACACAGTAGCTGCATTTGCAACTGTAACAGTGACCCCATGACTTCTGCACCAATTGCTGCTCACGGTTCGTACTTCATCTGGAATATAGTCGGGAAGAGGCCTTCCCAGGCCATGCTGTGTGGCAATCCGTTGCAGGTCATTATCTGATGGCACAAAACCTTCTTCCTGACCACCTTCAAAACAAAATGATATTGATATTATTGATATTAATATATATCAATTACAATGTACTTTACAGAGCCTTTCGCATACTTTGTGAATACTTTGACCGTGGATGCATGACTTATCTATCTAAAGGCCTATTACTTACCAAATCGCTCTGGGAAGTAGTACATGTCATCTGGTACGCCATCCGGTCTGAGTTTTCCCTTCTGTTTTCTGATTTTGTGGGCATTGTACGCCATTTTTAAATCCGCCAATTCCGTTTCCAGTCGTGGAATGTATACGTACAGCAATATCCATCTATGAATAGACAGGAGGTGCACTGAGAAAAAACAACAGTTGTGGAAGGTGCATGTAATACTAATCATGGCTAGTTCGTTCTTCCAGAAACACAACGCAAGTCAACATTATTAACTGCAGCAAGGATGACTAGACTCATTCTTGCTGTGGGTCCTTAACTTACCGGTCAATAACATCATCGCGCTCCCAAAGGCCACTCTCTCGAAGTGTCTGAGAAAAAAAATATGATTCAGTTTTAACTTTGATACAGTAATACTGCGGCACAAATACAATTACTAGTTGTCAGTGCACAGTCACTTCAAACATTTCTTACTTGAAGTTCATCGAGCCAGTACTGTGAGTTGTAACGGCGCTGACGAGACCACCAAGCCTCGATTGTCGGATGTTACTAAAACGGGGAACGGGGAGCGGGGAGCGGGGAACAGGGAACGGAAGTCTGGGAACGAGTTGTCAGCGGAAACCTCCATAAAAATCCAAAATGGCCGGTAAGGATCAAGAACCCGGTAAGATCGATGATAGAGAAGCGTCGAAACAACACTTAAGGTCGCTATTTTACTAATGAACTATATGCTCATGAGGTGCTTGAAATAATACGGAGGTAATAATGTCATGACATTTTGCACCTTTCTGCGTTTTACTAAACAACAAAATATGCTTCAACAGCAGTTGAAAGGAGCTACAGTCGGGACAAAAACTCTCAAAGCACAGCCATATTTGGAACTCAAGCGAATCTATACTGGGTCTCACTCACAAAGCTATGAAATACTTTTGCTTGACGCTTTTAGTACGGTTTTGGCTTAAATACATGCTGAAAGATAACTTAGATCGAAGCAGCCAGGTGTATTTCCTCGACAGTAATAGTGTAGCAGCGGAGCTCCTTCCTAGCTGTAGCGTTTTTTCAAGCCCAAATTAAAACATGTTGGCGATGAGATAAAACTGTAAGTCTAATAATATTATATTTACAAACCTATGATGAGAAGTAAGTGCAATTGTATTATTTGAAAAGATAAGATGGATCAGGTTATTTAATACATCAATAAAAGGCAACTTTAAACATATTAACGGGCAATGTGCCAGGAACATCAATCATACCTTGGTCTTAAAGATGCCAGTTGTTTCAAAGCAAATGGCTATGCTGTGGTTTTATTTTATTATAACCTAGGTGTAAATTTTGCTTCCCTTTGTTTGGGGGTAGGGTAATATGAATTTTATGATTATGAGTTCAAAACAAAGAGAATAAAATTCAAACTTAGGATAAAAGTGAACCACAACTGAGCTGCAATATTAAGTGTTGCAAGTATACGTGGGGGAAGTACTTTAAAGTCTTTGGTTAGAAGGTACTTTCTAAAGGCTAGCTGTTAAAATATGCGTTTTAAGTATACTTCCTCTGTTTAGCCCTCTGGATGCTTTGTTTTTTTTCTAGGGGGACTCCTTTAATGTTTTTGCAGAGGGGAGCTCTGCTTCTCTTTAATGAACATTATTTTTACTGTGGAGAAAAATATTTCAAGCTCAGTGTAAAACTGAATGTATCAGTGACTTAAACCAGTTAATATTGTCAAGCTGCTTTATTAGCTTGATTCAGCAATATTGCAGTGCACCTACCATCAAGCATCACATCATCAATGTTGCAGAGGTTGGCAGTTTATTAGAAGGTGGTTGATAAGCCTTCAAGCAAGCTGTCTGTAGTTTTGGAAATAAAGAGTCTAAGGTCTCACACAAGTGATGGGAGGCAAAAGATTGGAGTACCGATATGTTTTTCAGTAAACACGCACAAGAACTGTATGTGTATAGTGGCCACATTATGCTTACTCAATGCATGTAAAATAACACAATAGATCTTGCTACCCATTTTCCCTGATTTTATTTCCCCACCAGGGGACATAATTTCTTTTAACATATTGGGGTTTTCAAAAAAGGGGCAAGAAGCTTTTAAATGAATTTTAATTCATTTAATTTAAGCACAGTATCAAAGAAATTAAAGAGAAGAATCAGACTAGAGTAACAGTAACCCAGAGGGGAGGGGGGGGGTACTCACCAAAGAGGCTCTGCCCCAGGGACCAACCCTTTACCCTTTGTATGTACCATTTTAGACAGAAAAGGTACCCCTTTTGTATACCCTCTAGTGACAAATGGTACCCCTTTCACATACCTAATTTAGAATGCTGCATCCCTTTTTAACTGCTGTAAATACATCATCTTTACAATATGAATAAATAGCTAAAACAGGTTTTCTTGTCTCTCACATCCATAAAATGCATCTGTGACTGATCTCATTTTGGTCCCTTTCATATACTTCAACTATAAAAACCCCTTCCCTTTCATGTACCTGAAGCCTGAATAAGGCTTCAGGCTCTGTTTAGGCCATTATAGTACCCCCTCCTCCTGCACCGAGAACAGTACTTGATACAGCGATATTGTATGGTATGAATTGCACCAAACGTTTCGTGCCCATGAAGAGGTACTTTGATTATTTTACAACATTTTTCTTCAAAATGGAGAGGTTTGGGATCTCATTCTTAGGGGGCGGGGGTTAATTGAGGATCTGCAGTGAGTGAGAATGTTGCATTCAATGCAATCCAATGGTTTTGATTCAGGAAAGGGTCGTCAGGGTATTTCGCAGAAAGACAAATGGCCACTGTACGACTTTGAAGCAGTTACTGATTAGGGTGAGGAAAATGAGTGAATTAGGTTTCATTAGGGTCATTATACAGGTCTATACTGGGCAAACTGACCTGAAACAAATTGTTTCACAAAATAATAAACTGATATTATTTTATTTTCATGGATCAGTGAAACACTCCAATATCGTGAATGCTTGCAGTGTAGTAGATCTAATAATATTAAAAGCAGAACCAGATTGTTAAAGTAGTCTCACTAATTATGTGATGACCTGGTCAATAACATTTTTCAAAGCAGTCATCTCTATCAAAGGAAATACAAGAAAACTGCACACAAGCTACTTGACTACTTCGATGTATGTTATCTATCATGGAAAAGTAGTTCATTGCTTTGTGGGCTAGACTCAGTATAGATTCGCTTGAGTTCCAAATATGGCTGTACATGTGCTTTGAGACTTTTTGTCCCGATTGGCTTCTTTCAACTGCTGTTGGAGCATATTTTGTTTCCTACGGATAATTGTTTAGTAAAACGCAAAGAGGTGAAAAACGTCATGAAGTTATTACCTCCGTAATTATTTCAAGCACCTCATGAGCATATAGTTCAAGTAAAATAACGCCGTTATCGGTTAAGTTTGTTTCGACGGTTCTCTATCATCGATCATCGGCCATATTGGATTTTTATGGAGGTTTCCGCTGACAACTCGTTCCCAGACTTCCGTTCCCCGTTCCCTGCTCCCCGTTCCCCGTTTTAGTAACATCCCTCGATTGTCTAAGAGGAGATAAAAGATCATCGCATCGTGTCAATCAAGTGAAATTAATGAGCGAGGGCTTATTCGAGTACTCAAAGGAGTACCTGGCCTAACCTGATTGAGTTCTGAACGACCATTGTAGTGAGCATTATCAAATGCAAAGGTGTCTCTATGTTGCCTCCTGAGAAAGATCTGGCATTGGGCGAGAATGCACGCTTCTACACCATAGTCCGTTCTAGTCCTGACCGGAAACACTAAAAAAAGCCATTAAATCAGGGCGGGAAGATTTTAAAACCCAAAAAATAAATATCCTCGCAGTACCTTTTTCTTCCGTTATGAAATCAAAAAAATAAGAAGCGATCACCGCCGGGTCCTTGTTGCTATTGTAAACCCTTAGCCAAAGCAAGCGTCGGGAGAAAGTATCCATAGCACCGTGGATGTAAATGCCAAATGCCTGGAACTTGTCATATCCATCGATAGACCAAACCCAGTTACTTCCCTGAAGGCCAAAAATCGCATTTATTTGTGTGTCGATATATCTAGCAACAAAGTGCTAATTACAGTCAAACCAGGTCAAGCGTTCTCGTCGCTAACAAACTAATGAATTCATTAATGGAAAAATGATTTCGTTTGTTGATTCAATAATCCATTCATAAAATGAATAATCCAACGGTCAAATTGTACCTCGATTCAATAATCAAATGTTGATTTGGTTTATGAACAAAATCTACCTGTTCTTCATTCTTGTCCGTTGTGTTCAATCGTATTTGCTTCCCTTTTCCTGCCGTTTACGATTGCGTTTTTCATTGCCTTTAATCAAAATAACAGCTAGAATAGACAGACCGCAAACGCAATGAAACTGACAAAGGCCGAGGATCGAAATCCACCAATCACCGCACATACACTGACCTCAGTTTGACCGTCGTGTCTTCTAAGAGGTCAGGCCTAGGTCTGATGTACTGATTATTGGCAGCAAACTGGCGTACATGTAACAGTTTGTTTGGGTTTGAACTTCAGAACTCGCCAGCACTCGATTCTCAGAAAAAAAAGAGGAAAAAACAAAATTCTGAGGTCAACTTGTTTTTCAAAAAACAGTAATCGAATCAACATTCGATTATGGAATCGAGGCTAAATATGACTATTGGATTGTTCATTTTATGAATGGATCATTGAATCAACAAACGAAATCATTTTTCCGTGAATGAATTCATTAGTTCGTTAGCGACGGGAACGCTTGACCTGGTTTAACTGTAACGGCATTATTTAGGTCGTAACAAAGGGAGTGCCTCCATTTCTCAGTTTTTAAGCTTATCCTGCCAAAATGCATAGCCATAGGCCAAATAACAATCAGACTAATACTGGTCAATAGAGTAATTTTTCCTTGATTCGAGTTCACTAGTGACATACACACCTTTGTGAAAAATATACGTCGCTGTAAAACACGATGCTGCCTCAGTCAAAGTCATGATGCTATGAACTTGGTCTCTGGAAACAAGTAACAGCATTGGTGCATCTAGCGCATGCAAAAAGAAGCAGAAAACTAAAAATACAGAAACAAACGACAGACACAAAAAAACAGAAACAAAAGCAATACAAAGTTACCCCTTGTATATAGCAAACTGCTCTCCATATTAACTGGTATATAAATCCTATTTGTTTTCCTAGCCTTGGCATTTTGTTCTCCGTCCAACTAACACTAACCTTGTGACCAACAGATCATGATGCATTCGCAGCCTTAACTGCATTGTTCGAATTCCAACTAATTTCCTTGCACTATCAAGTTCAAACTGCAAATGAAAAAACTTCAGTTAGTCTCCTCAATGGCTGATTGGAGACTAGTCTACTCTACTGATAAAATACGTTAAACCCGACACGATTAATATAAAACCATTTTCTTTCAGCACTTTTTATTATTTTACCTGTATTGCATTCAGAACATCTATTGGACTCTCATCGCGATAGTATGTGATACCAAACTGAGCCATCTTTCTTTTCAGCGTGGGCACGCTAAGTTTGCAAAGAGAGGCAATAGATTTTAAAATTTCATCTCGTCTCTGTTCATCCCATAAGGTTCAAGTCTTTTGCCTTTAATTTATAAATTACAAATTAAAACCATCGCGTAGTAGGACCGGGTTTGCGACGCAGATTAAGAACACTATATGTCGAATTTCAAAATGTAAATGAGCCGCTTCATTGTTGGAACTTACAGTACGATATTTTTATCGTGTGGCTTTGAAAAAAGGAAAAAAAAACATCGCAGCTTTAATTAATGGACATCAAGAAAAGACAGTACATTTAGAGCAGGCAAAAGGGAATGCATATACCCGTCCACGTACCATTTATCAAAAATGGGTATACTAAATCATACCTTCACACTGCACCAAAACTTTTTGAGCGATACATAATGGTATGGGGTAATGGACCACTCTCCCACGCAGCTCCTCCCGGATTTACAGATGGCGGATGATGTTGCGTGACCAGATATGAACCATTGAAATGGAATGACGGGGATAAAACTCTACCATTTATTAGGGACCGTTCATTTCTTAAATGAAGGGGGGGGGGGGGCTAGTGGGATTCGACTGATAGCTCCTGTAGAACATGATGAGCCTCCCTCTTCATAAGAATTTTTTTGTGCGGCTCCCGCTTGTGTCGGAAATGGGATTCTGGTAGGCTACTTGAATTATATGCAAAAGTCATTTTGGGTGACGCCCCATTAAACCCAATATTTTTTTCCTTCTAAATCCCACTTTTAAAGCCACATTTTTTTCATGCCCCCTCTCAAGTCCCACCAGCCCCCCCTTCGCCTACCTGATAAACGATGAATGAACGAATAAATGAACGGTCCTTATATTTTAACAATAATTTTGACAATCGCTTACCTCCAGTTTATGCCAAAATCTTTCCAGACATATTGCCCGATCATATCAATGGTTTTTAAGGACCGCACATGATGTAGAAGGTACTCTCTTAGATCTAAAACAAAACGTGCAAATAGCGCTTCCCTTTATTTATCTTGCTTCCTTTACATCACGTTGAGAAAATGTCACGACTCCAAGATCGATACTCGGATCCGATGCTAACATGGAAGGTTATTAGGGCCATTTATACTAGGAAAAATAAGACGCGTCTTACATAAGACGCGAACTGTACCATTTATACGAGCATGTCTTATCTAATAAGACGCGTCTTAGCTAGGCCGCGTCTTATTTTAGACGAAATGTGCCGTTTATACGGAAAGTTCGCGTCTTATTTAAGACGCGTCTTATTTTTCCTCGTATAAATGGCCCTATTGTTTACAAAGATCCTGTTCATTGGTGGTAAATAATATTTCTTTTCTCACTAGAATTTTGATCGTATCAAACAGTTGTAAGCTTACATAAAACATCGAGCAATAAACGTACATAATAGTGACAGAACGTACCATTTTCACGAATTCCTTGGCCTGACATGGCAGCTAAACACGAGGAGAGAACAGAAGAGCCAAAGGTCACGTGTAAACTCATCAAACAAGTGGGCTACCCCCAGCTGGGAGACTAACGAAATTTTGGAAATCAAAAGTGGCACTTGAAAAATCAAAGGCGACAAATTTTGGAAATCAAAAGTGTCATTTGAGAAATCAAACGCGATAAATTTTGGAAATCAAAAGGGTCATTTGAGAAATCAAAACGCGTCTAATTTTGGAAATCAAAAGCGTCTTTTGAGAAATCAAACGCGACAAATTTTGGAAATCAAAAGTGTCATTTGAGAAATCAAACGCGATAAATTTTGGAAATCAAAAGGGTCATTTGAGAAATCAAAACGCGTCTAATTTTGGAAATCAAAAGCGTCTTTTGAGAAATCAAACGCGACAAATTTTGGAAATCACAAGTGCCATTTGAGAAATCAAACGCGATAAATTTTGGAAATCAAAAGTGACATTTGAGAAATCAAAACGCGTCTAATTTTGGAAATCAAAAGCGTCTTTTGAGAAATCAAACGCGACAAATTTTGGAAATCAAAAGTGTCATTTGAGAAATCAAACGCGATAAATTTTAGAAATCAAAAGTGTCATTTGAGAAATCAAACGCGACAAATTTTGGAAATCAAAAGTGTCAGTTGAGGAATCAAAGGCGACAAATTTTGGAAATCAAAAGTGTCATTTTAGAAATCAAACGCGTCAAATTTTGGAAATAAAAAATGCATTTGAGAAATCAAACGCGACAAACTTTCAAAATCAAAATTGTTATTGGAGAAATCAAACGCGACAAATTTAAAATCAAAATGACACAATAAAAACGAAAAGGATTTTTCCTTTTAATCATAGACAAGATAGCAAAATCATAGAAGACAAGAAAAGAATCAGACATAGTAAATTTTATTTGTGATACTCCTCGAACACCGTAAGCCTGTGTACTGAGCCGCCCCCTCCCCTAAAAAAACATAGAGGAGAGAGACGGATTTTTTTCTGAGGGAATGGGGGCGTCTGTGACTGCTTAATTCATGTCCGCTTAATATAGTTAATAATGATCAATTTTCAAAAAAATCAATATTCAGAAGTAAAAAAAATCGTAAGAATTCGGTGAGAATTAATGGTTGCTCACCAACGGTAACTGATCCCGATTTGCTGCTTTTCTCATCATTAAAACCTATTGCTTTTCGATGCCGTCGCCGTCAAGGTTTATGAAGCTCCCTCATACAACGGCACGCGACTGCATGCTTTCTGCTCATGAACGCGGGATCCCATAAATCACTGGAACGTGTAAAACACTTATTAAGAAGAAAAGCATGCTATAAACATATGCAGCCATCTGGGCGTCACATCCGGATCAAAGAAGGTTTTTAAAATACCAATCCCTAAAAGGACTTTGGAATAATAAGAATGTTGGCGTGGTCATCAGACCCCACGCTCGAAATTTTACGAAGATTGTAATATGTAATACGAAGATTACCGAAAATTCCCGAAAAAGCTTTCGTTCTTTTTTCGTTGAATTCACGTGACCATATTTCGTCCGAGGAAATGGAATCGACAATTTGAAGGTCACGAACTTTGCATTGATCCAAAACGCTGTGTATTTTTATTCCGACGAATTCGCGAAAACTGTGTCTTCCCATTCAATATATTGTATCATGTTCTTCGGCTAAAAATTACACGGAGGAAACGCTTAGGGCCGGAAGTGATTGACAATTGTTATTTTGGTCGTAGAGGCTGTGAAGAATCTCTCGTCATTGGGAGCTTGTGTGTATTCATTTGCTCGTTCGACAGTACACTGTGTTTGAAATCATTCTCACCTTGCATACTGAAGAATAAGTGAATTTAAGAAATGAGCAACCTTGGTAAGAAGTCGAATTGGAGTTTGTCTGTTTACATTACTAATTTGAGCACTGAGAAGTCTGTAGAAGTCAATGGAGAAACTCACATCGGAAAGCTCATGTTGGACCTTGTTGAAGGACTAGGTAAGTCTGCTGCTCTGTGTGATTCAATCTTGTCGACTTTTGCGCGGGTGTGGTGCCATTAAAATGTGTAGAAGAGAAAAACCTGTTCCTTGACGTTTAGTTTTGTGTTAAGAGTTGTTGATCCTGCTGACATTCCAAGTATTTGTTAACGTCCTATGTGTTGGAATTTAAAAGCAATAGCGTCTGCGTAACGCTGTGTTAAACCCATCGCGATCAAATTAATTTAGCTTACTTTTCTTTGTCATATCCTTGTACATTATAATTCTTGTAGACATAGCGGCTGATTGGTCTGATCATGGATTGTGGTGGCCCCAAAAACGACTGTGGCTTGTGAAACCCCGCTTAACTTTAGACACAATCGGTGTGCAAGGCGACGCTAAACTTCAGTTTACTCCAACTCATAAAAAGGTTCGCGTTCAGTTACCCGACTTGCAGTTTGTGGAAGTTTCTCTGGACTTTTCTAAGCCTGTTTTCCACGCCGTACAAGAACTTTGTGCCGAATTGGGAATTAGACATCCCGAGGAACTATCTCTGCTCAAACCGTTCGAGGGATCAAAAAAAGAAGAGCGAAAAACTGTTCGTGGAAAATCGAAGAAGAGACATTCACTCTCTTCCAGCTCGGACGACAATTTATCGGCTAACAGCGACGACAAAACTAGAGGAAGCAAGGACAGTTTAAATGTGCCGAATTATAATTCACTTCCAAGGCATGGTTACGCTTCACCGAACGGCAGTGTTGGTTCCTCCACACCTGGATCTTTATCGCCTTTCACTCCTAACAGCCCGTGTGGAACGATCGAAACAACTTCGTTAGCTTGTAGCCCCGTGGCACCTTCTCAGGAAGCAGTTGCCTCTTTATTCAAGCCCAAAACATTTACAGAAAAGGCTGTAGTGAACAAAGGGTATGTACAATTTGTAGATAATCAATTATATATTAGTTGGATACATTTTCATCAATCATGCACTTTTGTTTTATCGAGTGGCTCACCAATTACTTCAACAAATATTGCATCGCGAGTGTATTTTGTAGGTTAAGATGCAAGGAGTTTATTGATCTACACCGTTCTAGTTACAGGCACTGATTTCTTGAGTTTTTTACTGGTCAGATCTCATCAGTTAGTAAACATGTTGTGTGCAAGTCAGCTACAGGGTATATTGCACAATGCATACTGTTACAACCCAGGGAATACAGCTGAGAGCGCAACTGGCCTTTAATAGCCTGAATTTTGGCGTGTGAACTCAAATATACTTCAGAGCTATTTTCTTTGGTTTTTGCTCAGTTTGAGAGCAACAACCAAAACCTGTCCTTTTCTCCATGCTTCACTTGCTTCACTCCATGTGAAAACTTGCAGGGACCAGTGGACAATTCAACTCTGGCAAATAGAACACTAGCCTGTTCCAAGCATCCAGATAGTACACAGTAGGCGAGTTTCGTATTCGACGAGTTCTTGTATTTGTGAGGTAAAGCAAGGCTAATGCTGATCACTTCTCACCAAGAATACAGACAAACATGAGAAAACTGTGGCTGAGTTGCCAAAAAAAAAAAGGAGATTTGAAATGTTGAAAGGTTTTGTAGGTCTGAAAACTTATTTACAGGCTTGAGAAATCATTGTTTCAAACAGCAAAAGGAAGATCAGCTCTTCATCACTGAGAAAAACAACAAGCCTAACCAGAAATTGACCGAAATAGTGGTCGGTGAGTGAGTTCAATAAAAATCAGTAGACGTTTTCAAAATCCTTTAACAAGGTAACACCTTGAAGCCATTTCAATTTTCATTTCAGTGATGGTTAAAACTTTTTTAAGCCATAACTTCCATCGGAGTGTCGAAAGCTTCCAAGTTAAACTGAAACCTTCATTTTAAATGACATTTTGTTAATGGAGCAAATGCAAGATCTTGTGTGTTAAAAAATAATAATAAGACGATGGGCCAGTTCCTTGCAATGTAAGGAAGTTAAATCAGTTTAAACGAAGATGACTAAAATAGTACAAGTTTATTTATACATAAGCTTACATTTCGCCTACATTATTTATCAAAATATTCAGTCCCATAAAGAAAGACATATGCACATTTCACTCAACAAGGACTCAAACACAGAATCTTTCACAGGTATACACAAGAGTAAAATAGCATACTAAGAAGTAACATAATTAAAAGGAAACAAAATATTTTCATTTTAACACACTTTACCCTTTTCAAGCTAAAAAAGTTCAAGAGCATACTTCTTCTTTTGGCTTCATCGCTTTTTTCCTTTCTTCTGTAATTACGATCAGCTTTTCCCACAATTTTGTTGTTTGCAACAGACATCCCTTTGGCTTACTGGTAAAGATTAAGCTTTGAAATCTTACTATTTTGAAAATTTCGATCTTTTTCCAGCAACTCAGCGGCAAATTACCCATGTTTGTTTTTGTTTTTGCAAAGAAGTTGACCGACATTAGCCTCGCAATCGTGCTCGTCCCAGGGCCGCAGGAAAGTGTGGACAAATTGTGAATTACGAAAAGCAGGAAGTAAAAGATGGTGTGCCTTAAGAGTTGGCCATCGAAACATTCACCTGGATATTTCAAGAGCCTGTTGTATTAACAGGTTCAAGTTAATCAGTCGTAGGACATCCTCTGTTAAGGTGGCTCAATGGGGTTTTTCAGGGTCAGCACCTCCCAAGTTTGGCCATAATCCACATTGCCATCAACAAAGATTTGGAAAAATTACCACTACAGCTGTATTAGATTAAGATGAAAATTGTGTCGTGGTCAGGGTTACAATGACATCAGAGTTGTAATGGGAACAAAATGATGCCATTACCTATTTTACTTGCAGCCGTATTTCTCAACAGTGGGAATTTTTCTTCCAAAATTGTTCACTTGAGCTTTTTCCTCCAATAGCCACCCTGATGTTCATGAAGTTTGAGTGAAATCTTTAAGGAGAAGATTATCGAGATATTTTGGGATGAAGATTTTATGGTTAGAAATACTGTAAACACTGGACACTCTTGATGTTTGGCAGTTATCTTTAGAAAGCAAACACTTTTGAAATACAATATTTCACCTCATAGTAGTTTCATTCTTCTTAATGTAAACAAGTGTGAAAGATCATGGAGATAGCTTTAGCTGATTGCTAGAAAGAAGGATTTGATTAGCATGTATCAAGGCACTCTTTTTAGCAGTTTTGTAAACATTTTGGTCTACTTAAACAGATAAGCGAGTAATTTTGAAACTGCTGGATAGATTTTTTTTAATTTGAGATTTTTGGGATTAACCATGGTTTTATATGACCTTTGAGTTTCAAGATAAGATTATTGATAACTTATAAGGCAGTAAATAAGGGCTACAATTTGCTAATTTTTTGTCAGAAATTCCGTGTTTACAAGTGAGAGCCTCTCATTATTCAGGGGTATTGTCTCCAAGTTTCATATATTTGTGGACAACAATAGTTTTCATTTCTGCATATTTCAAATGCATTGTTACTTACTGCTGTTCACGTGTAAATGAAATTTATGAACAAATACAGTCAAACCTTGATTATCTGGACTCATTAGGACTTGAGTAAATTGTCCAGATAATCGAAGATGTAAATATTATATGATGTAAACATTTTTGAAAGCAAAACATATTAAAACAGTGTTTTAAACACACATTTGGAAGGATTAATGAACTTTTGATCGCCTCACTTTTTTGAAAAAAATGGGACCAGGGAAACAAGTCCAGATAATCCAGGTCCGGATAATCAAGGTTTGACTCTACTCTGCAAATTTTATTGCAGGGCGCTCTTGTCTTGTGATTTTGAAATACTTGCTCTGCAATTCTCTCATATTGGTCTCAAATATATAAAATTGAGATTTTGATCGGTGACTTTTTGGTGAGGGTTTTTAGGCAATTTATGTTCTGTAACATGTTAGACATTGTCCTTTTTTTTTTCCGAAGTCTAACACATTATATGTACTTACGTGTACAGAGTAATAAATAGGCTCTTTTTTTATTAAGATAGTTGAATGGTTACAACAAGTGATGCATCAATACCTAAATGTTGTCATTGTTATCAGTCTTGCAGGTAGTTACATGTAATATATACTGTTGATGTCGCTTTGTTCTTTTATTAAGACTTGGTGTTACGTAGCCTGAACAGCAGACAAAACTAAGCTTCTTGTTAAGTCCATCTGCGAAACAGCACTAAAATCCTTGTTCTCAGCCCCCACCTGGATATCAGGATTTGAGTACGCAGCGTGATTGGCCTAACAAAAAAGGCCATTGTGGATTTGCCAGTCAACTTAGTGGAAAATTCAAAATGCATTTCCCATAATTCATTGAGTCCATTGCGGGCCCAGAACAAGGATATTGGCGCTGCTTAGCAGACATTACTAACCAGCACTGGATTACATCTTGTAGACTTGGTGTTATATTGTCTCTGATATTTTCTTTTTCTCTCCATCAGATGGCTAGATTCATCAAAGTCTCTTATGGCTCAGGTATAAATGCTTTCTGTGTTATACAATAACTTGCTGTATTATTATTATTATTATTATTATTATTGTTATAAGTGCATACATCTTTATTACAAAACCTCAATTAAAATCCTATTTACAATCAACCTGCTGTTACAAAAAATCTAATTAATTCATCAAAACGCTATCTACAATTCCATCCGTTACAAAAGAAACCCCTCGGCCTTCATAAGAGAACAAAAACAATCCTATATATAATAAGTGAAGAAAGAAACTATTCATTTACAAATTCTAAAAAATAGAAGTAACTTAACCTTACATAAAAGAAGAGGAAATAGATTTTATTAAAAATAAAAGTTCAAAATTCTATAAACTTTATTATTGTTATTATTACTATTATTATTATTATTATTATTATTATTATTATTATTATACAATAACTTTATTATTTAAATTATTTCCAAGAAGCTATTTGATGCTCACACTGATCCTATATTATAAGTTTGCAAATACTGAAATTATCTGAAATTTACAAGTTTTTTTTTTTTTCAAGTTGGAAAGTTTATGTATTCTTATAAAATAGGCCTGCTCTCTTCTGTATTCAAAGCAATGTTTTTGATGATAAATGAAGTTCATTCCTATAACACCAGAAATTCAATTTCAAATACTTTCTACTTGTTTCCTGCACAAACAACTATAAGACTTTTTGGTATAAGATTTCAGGGTCCTAAATTTTTCAACTCACTAAACAACAATATGTAAATTGTTGCTGCATTACAACATTCACTGTTTTGATGTTATGCTAATGTTTCCAAAGTAATGCACCCCGTGCATACCTCCATGTCTAGTACATTTCAGTGCAAATTTTATTGCATCTTTTGAATGTAACATTGACAATAATCACACTGAAATGCACTAATCATGGGATTATGTATGTATGATAATTTGGAAAAATTAGCATAACTCCAAAGCAGTGAATATCATAACGCCGTCAGTGGTGAAATTTTGTAGCGATCGGACAAGGATAAAATCACATTAAAGGAGATTGAAAAATATTGGTATGGTCTCTGAAAAACTGTTTCAAAACACCTTAATGTCAGACTCACTTACTGTTCATACAGGGATGTACACTGTACTCTAGCAACACCCAAAGACCCTTGGTGCCTTACTTTTGCTCTTGGGTAACTAAGGAATCTTAGTTTTTTTTCATAGAAATCCTATGCAGGGCAACCTGAATTTAACAGGCTCAGAGCAGTGGGTTCCCTTTAGATTTTCTTAGAAAACAGCCTTTCATAGCATTTTTCATTTCTTTTTATAATATGATACAGAGCTTGAAATAATAGTTGGTCATCAGATAATATTGGACTAAAATTCAGGCTGTTTATTAGGCATCGGAGAATTCTCTGTTTGCTATGAAAAATTCTCTGGCTAACATTCAGTAGCCTGCGACCATTTTTTATTTATTCAGATGAGGAGCCTCTTTCAGAATATTCTCCTGTAATGTTACACCTTTCTCCTGCTACTAGAATTCTTAATGGCAACCCTGAAAATTGGCTCATGTCTGAAGATATTTAAGCTGTGGTTGAACGTGATTTATAGACTATTATTTTAAGACTTCCGTTTTGCAGCTGATTAAATTCTGCATGGAGTGCATGTGTATTTTCTTACCAACAAAATAATATTGTTGCAGTGAATATACATGTAATGGCAGTAATTGGACTACCTGCGAATCCTGAATCTGAACCCACCTGGCATTAAAGACAATTTTTGGTTTTGTCCAACTAAATAATGACTCACAGTAGCTAGACATATGTCATTTCAAGAAAGGAAAATTATTTGCATCTCTGTGATATTTCATCATCAGGTTCCAATGTAATAATCTCGCTGGGCTAGTGTCCTGCAGTTCAATGCCCAAAATAAGTTTTTGTTTTATCTGCAGTCAAACGTCCATTCTGCACCTTGAGTTTGCATGTATCTTATCAATTTCCTTTCCCTATTGCCTGATCTTGAGGAGTGGTTTTCAAGCCCTCCATCTTTCTCTAGTTCCCCACAGGTTAACTAGACCTCTGTCTTACTGTTAATTACATCTCTCTTGCCATCTTGTTAACCCAAAACGTAAAAAATGCCGCGTGAAGTATTACGAGTGTAAAGTGCACCTTAAGGGCTGTTCCCCAGCTAGGCGGTGGGGAGAAATCAAGACACTCAGTGGAATGGAAGGGCCCGTTGGGTCACGTGATAATGTCTTAAAGTCCATTCATCACTTAGAAGGTGCTTGTGGTCTATCAGCAGACGATCTTGCGAACCACATCAACACAGCTTTGATAGCCCCAATGGAGGATTTTGAACCACTCACCCACAATCCATTTAGGGGAATGTTTCTGTGTCTTCGAGCAGAACTGTGAATGATGATTTCTCACCAGTATCAGAGTTATCTGTCCGTAAAAAGTTATGCTCTGTTAACCCAGCCAAGGCACAAGGTCCAGACAGTATCCCCGGATGGCTCTTAAAGGAGAACGCGGACCTTTTGACCCCCACCCCCACCCATCATGGATATCATGAATATCTCCTTTTGGGAAGACTGGGTGCCCTTATCTTGGAAAGGAGCAGATATCATCCCTGTCCCCAAACAAAGACTTATCCAAGACATCAACAAGCACCTTTGCCCCATTTCCCTTACGCCTATCTTGTCCAAGATTGCAGAGGATCATGTTGTTCATGACAGATTACAATATTCCAAACCACATCTTATGCTTGATTGCTGACTTTCTATTGGATAGGAGACAGAGTTAAACTGGCCCAGGATTGCTTCTCTGAGTGCCGTTACAGGACTGTACATCCCAGCCGGTGTTCCTCAGGGGACAAAGTTAGGGCTGTGGCTCTTTTCAATAATGATTAATGACTTGAATGCAGGAGAGGTAGATATGTGGAAATGTGTGGATGATACCACAATCTATGAGGTCATAGATAAAGGCCAAGAGAGTTGTCTTCAGCAAATGGGAGATGATCTCGCAATACAAGCAAGGGATGACAGATTTCAGTTATATATGAAAGGAAATGCAAAGAGCTCAGGGTGAGCTTTGAAGGAACAAACCAGAATTTGACCCTATCTTGGTTAACCATCAGACCCCTAGAGAGTGTGAACAGTGTGAAATTGTTAGGACTTAATGTTAGCAGTGATTTAAAGTGGAATGTCCATGTGTCAGAACTAGTTAGAAAGGTCTCAACAATATTATATTTTCTAAGATGGCTTAAAGAAATGCCATGTTGCTACAAGAGAGCTTGTTCTACTTTACATCACATGCATTCGCTCTATTCTGAAGTATGGCAGCCCAGTTTTTCATTGCACTGTACCAAGTTATCTAAGTGAGCACCTCGAAAGACTGTAAAAACGTGCTATGAACCTTATTTACCCTGAGCTATCATATGCTAAGGCTCTAGAGCTGTCCGGACTTTTAACACTGTATGATAGAAGAGAGGCAATTTCAGCAAAGTTGTTCCATGAAATATGTGCTAATCAGTCTCACAGTCTCCACAAACTACCTCCAAGTAAATACCAGCCAAGCTACTCTCTGAAAGAACAAAGAACATTTATTCGTCCAAAGTGTAAAACTGAAAGATGCAAGAATAGTTTTCTTTAAAGTTATGTTTACAGTAGTTGAGACCTAGATATAATTTTGTTTCTTATTGTATGTAGGAACTTGATGCATGCTTTTGAATTTGTGATTTTATAACAGCTTTAAAATCGTAAATTATGTTGGATCATCTTCTTTTATTGGTTGTAAAGTACTTTAATTAGTTGTAATTTAGTACACTTGTAAATTATTTCATTTGTATACCTTTTCGCAATTCAGCTCTTGGCTTCAAGTTTTTAAGGTGACTAAACTATCTATCTATCTATGCAATCCTCGTCACATGCTATAAGAAAATTGCATAGTGCAAGAACAAATTATCAATCATTGAAGGTTCCCAGCTTCTATCAAGAAATTATTATTATTATTATTATTATTATTATTATTACTATTGAATGAGTTATAAATTTGTGAATTACCTTGATGTTACAGGAAGTTGCTGAATTTTCCACTCTTCTTTTGAGATACAAGTATTATGCCTTCTTTGATCTCAATCCAAAGGTTAGTATTCATAAACCATTCTTTTATTATTCATACAGTACTATCTAAACCTAATATTCCTGGCTTGCAAGGCACAGTTCAGACCTTTGGGTTGTAATTTGACTTTCAATGCCCTAATGACGAAAGTGTAACCTGTACCAAGCAGACTCTACACTGAGTTAACATCATGAGTTAAGCAAACAGGAGCATCAATATTATAAAGCCCGAATTTGAACGTTATACCTGCAACAAATTAAATGTGGTAACCACTCAAAACCCTAATCAAACTTTGGTCAGCCACCTTTGCCCATTCACACCTGGATAGTCGGCTGAAAATCATGTTTGAAAATACCTGAAGTTGAACTGTTTCCAGGTCGCTTTCTTGACAGAAGAAGCAAAGATGCCCCAAATGTTGTTCACAAGTCAAAATTTTATATATGATTGGTATGCACAGAAGTCAAAATTTAAAGATACATGTACATGAACTGTTTTTGGACACCCTTGTTAATTAACTGGGCTGACCAATGCAGGCCCAGTTGATAAAATACCTTCAATTGTCTCGGGGGGGGGGTGGAGGGTAATTCCTGGGAAGGGTACATTGTTCAAATGAGTTTATGTTTGACTCTCACATGAGAAACAAGGTCGGTGACACGGTTTTATGGTGGCCTGAGTGTGTACAGCTACCCCCTCCCCTCAGAAAAAATTGCTCCTTAGCAGCTTAGTTAAAATCGCCTTTCCGCGATTCTTGTTATTCACCACAATAACTGATGTGTGAGCCACATCTTTTTGTTTTACTTGCAGGCTCAAAATAGAGGTTGCCTTGTCTGTGAGACAATCTCTTCTGGTTGGTGCAAATGTGACCCTGAAAGGCAAAATGTCCGCTAACAGTTGATCTGTTTCGGAGGCTAACTATTTATTATCCAACCCTTTTGAGGATCTGTTCAAAGCATTTGATAAACCATTTGAATGGTTTAAATACCCATTTAGACAGTTGCAACATCCTTTCAAACGGTTTTTCCACGTTAGATTCTCCTTGCTATCCGATCAACTGTTACTTTTTTGTGGTGGGGAATGGAATTTTGGGTCATGATAATTCAACTTCCTTGCTTAATGAAGCAACCATCTTGTAACTGTATGGATCTGTCAATAGCCCTTATGCATGTTTACGTCACACAAGCAAATTTCACCACCAAGCCTCGTTTTGAAATTAAAAATAAGCGAAGTTTCACAGAAATGAATTCCCAAGGCAGTAGAGTTGAAAAGAATACCCACGCACAAAAAGTGCAAATGCAAAAAATTGTGTTCACAAACGAGGCTTGTTGGTGAAATTTTAATACTAGTCTGACGTAATCATGCATAGGGGCTATTTGACAGATCTGATTACTGCCAGTAATTCCTATTGTCATGTGGTAAAAGAAGCTCTTTCCACAATGGTAATCTTTACAAGAACTTATTATTTACTGCTTGTAAAACAATGATTTTGATTTTTATCTCACCAAACCAGGTTGATGAGGTGCGCATCAATCAGCTATATGAGCAAGCCAAGTGGTCAATCTTAACAGAGGAAGTAGAGTGCACAGAGGAAGAGATGATGACCTTTGCTGCCATACAGGTTATTACCATAAATTATTTCCTCTTATCACCTTAAAAACTTAACTTTAGCTATAAATACAAAGTAAACTGTAGGTTGCAGAGTGTTTATTACTCTTTTGAAAAAATTACCTGAGTTTTTGTTTTCATATTTAGTTCCAGGTGAAGCTTACCTCATCCTCTCCTCAGAATTCCCAAAGTGGAGATGATGATAATGATGACATAGATTCAGCCCTTAATGACTTACAGGTATCTTTTATAATGAATAACCTTTAGGTCCCAAGACTGACCAACATTGATTTTCTCCTGAGAATCATTAAAATGATCAGCAGGCAAAACTGCTTTGATCATCTTTCAATAAATCGTAGGAACGCTACATGAATGGGTCTTGGCTTTTTCTTGTCGGAGTTTTTCGCTTTCCTTGTTGGTGTATGGTGAACACGTTCTATTTCAACATGTCCACATAGGGTCTCTAGGCCCATGTGGGTGGCTATAAAGTCTTGAATGAATTCTGCACATTTTTGTCCTTCTGCTTTTTCGGGTACATTATAGAATACAAGGTTGATTTGCCTTAATCTGTTGCATAATTAGATACCTTTTGTTTGAAACCATTTAACCTGATTGTCATTTTAACCTACTATTTACATCCAGACAACTGCTGCATTGTTAATAAACTGATTCAGAACAATAATCATAGTAATTATTATTATTAATTTTTATTTATCAATTCACAGTGTTGTGCTAACTATGAAATTTTTACCTAATGTACACAATCTAAAAGCTCTTTAATGTATGTAAAACGTTAATGCCAGTTTCTCATTACGTGCCTCCGCTTCAAGCAGTTTTTAGTCCCAGGTTAGATTTAAAGGGACAGGTTCTCATTCCATCCCATTCACATGTATCTCAGCGATCTCAGAGTGTATTTCAAAGTAGAAGTGTATTTCAGAGTAACCTGAAGTGGGATAGAGGAGCACTAAAATCGCAGAAAAAATTAGTAGATTATGCCAACACTACCAACGTTGAATTTACTGTTGACCCGAAGGTTTTATTCCATGGTCGATTAATTAACAGCTATTTGCAAATATTTAAGTTGATCAAGTGCAAGTGACTGCCAGCAAAGTGTACAGATTTGCTCTTTGACAACATCTTGACATGATTGTATTGTTTGCATAGACAATACAGCATGTCCTGGCAGAAAAGAGCATTTTTATAATGAGCATGTGCTGAACCATGAACCTGTCCCTTTAATGTTGGCGTGGTCGTGATTGACGGTTCTGAAAATAGCTTGAGGAACATGTCCAGCGAAAGCAAGTTGAGTGTTACATGTTTCTCCTACTGTTGCATTAGAAGTTTGGAATAAATTATTGTTGCTACTAGAACCATTTCTTACCAGGTTATTTGTTGTACATTGTTCTTGAATGGTACAACTGTAGATTAAAGGCAATATGGCATATGACGTGTATATATCAGACATGCTTGTAAAATATGCTGCAATCCCTGTGGCCTATACTTATTATTAACAACACATTTTGTGGTTTCTTTTGTAGGCCACTCTAGAAGGATCATCTCTTTCTTCTGCATTACCACAAAAGGTAGGTGTTAGGTCATATAATGTCAGTGCTCTAGTATTCGAATACTTGTCCATTCATTGTAATGATGGTTTAACATTTTTAGACAAAGTGACTGACTGTAGACAGCTCCCTTGAAATATGAATCTTCACTGTGCTGAATTCGGTAAATTTTGTGGTGAGATTATGACCTGTTATTTCATAGTCAGTCATACCCCCCCCCCTTCTACTCCTCACTGCCAATATTATCCTTAACTAAACTATTCAAATGCATATTTGATATGTTTGATATACGCAGTGTTGAGACATACAGGATACTACATGGCCGCTCAGAGGTACGAAATTTCTCTCCAAGTGTTGATATTTTTTCAACATGAGAAGAGAAATTTCGTATCTCCAAGCGGCCATGTGATGTTCTATTTATTATATAAACACCAATGAACTACCAAACAATTTCACTTTAATAGTTTTTTGGTGTGAAAGGTGCGATTTATTATGTAGTCACAGCAATGTAGATCAAATTTATAACCTTCGTTTGAAAAATTGCCCTTGATGGAGTCTAAACTGACCTGAGGAATGAATTGACTAGCAATAACTGCTTCTTTTGTATATGTCACTATTTGATAGGTAAGCACTCAAGATTCAATTGACCTGTAAAAATCAAATTGAAAGTGTTCATGAGGTTTTGGTTTGACGTGCACAACAAAATAGCCATTCTTTTTTTTTTTCTCACAGAGTCTGACATCAGTTCCTGAAATAAAGGACTACCTTCACATGATCAAGTAAGTCTTTTTGTCTTGTTTTCATGGCCTAAATTAGATCTTCAGTCACACAGGCACTCAAAGTCTCTCACTTATTTTCATCTTTTCTGCTATAAAAAAAGATTATTATTATTTCAGCTGTATGTCTATGTAAAAAGTTCTTGATAGGGGTAAACATTTACAAAGTAGAGGATTTGGTGGGTCTGATTTGTTTATTATCTTGATCACACGATGAAGATGAAAAGCTTCCAAAAAGGTTTCCCAGCCCTACTTAAAATCAGTTTTAATCTTGGTAAATTCTTGTTTGCTAACTTCTCTCTCAGCTTTCTGCTAACAAGTTAATAAATACGGTAATAAAAAGAGGGCTTGTCTGGTGTTCTAACATCTGCAACATTTCATTCATGCTTTATCTAGATGGGAGTTGGCAACAGAAATTTCAGCTGGTAAAATTTAATGTTCATTTTTATGTTTTCAAGGCACAAGACATTTGGAACCAAGAAAAAGAAGTACTGGTTTGTTTTTAAAGGTAAACATATATGACATTTTTTGGTCATTGTTGATAATGTGAATGTTAAGTGTTAAAGATTGTTGTCAGCGTTCTTTCTACTATGTTTCATGCACAATTATGCTGACATGTGTGGACAGAGAAGTGTGACTATTGTTGGAATTCATTCCTAAAAACTCTCTCACACTAACAGATGTATAAAGACTGTGTTATTTATCTGTTTTAAGACACCATTCTGACAGTGTTTAAGAGCCAAGAAGATTCTTCTGGAGCACCTGTGCAAAGGCTTAATTTGAGGGGTATGTCTTTTTATATAAACCAATAAACTGCTTTTCTGGTTTGAAGCTTTCTCTAGAAACCGACCCACTATTTGGGTGAGTTTCAATGCTGTATTAGCTGAATGGATGTTTACATGTACACTGTACCATCAGAATACAATTTATAATACCACAGTGAAGGCCATTGTTGGTTGTTGTCATTGTTTGTTTGGTTCATTCTGAAGTCTTTAATCTTTTGTTCTCAGTGAACCTTTTTATTCTTATCATTTGAATAGCTCTTAGTATAAGAATACGTAGTAACAATACTTTCTTATGTCTCTGACTCCAGGCTGTGAGGTTATTCCAGATGTCAATGTAAACAAAGAGAAGTTTAATATTAAAATAAAACTCAAAGAATCAGATGACATTGAAATCTGTTGTTCAAGTGTAAGTGGCCCATATGTATTACTTGTTACTCTGTTGTTTACATGCTAATACTCACATTGTGAACAAGACAAGTGATCATGAACACTGTTAAATTGAAGGCATGGTATAACGCTGCAAATGATATAAAATTTCACCGGAAGGCTTCCAAATGGGAACATTAAAATCGTCTTTTGTTATGTGAGGCAAATAAACAGTTAGCGTTTTCTTTTTTTTTTCAAACTGTGTGTTGATAGGAGGCACAATATTCTAAGTGGATGGCAGCCTATCGTTTGGCATCAAAAGGAAAGACTATGGCTGATGCTGGATATGATGCTGAGGTTTCTGGTATTCAGGCGTTTCTCAGCATGCAGCATGATAAAAGTGATGCAACACCCCTCAGCCCAGGCCAGGTCAGTCAGTCTGTATTACTGCTGCTTGTGTAGCAGCTGTTACTTGAGATCATAAGTCATTATAAAACACAGCATTGTGTCTTTCATTGTTATGGTTAATAAGGCACGGATGAGATTGGTTTGTTCAGTATGTCTGTAACTATGGCTTTTCCTCAGCCTTCTCAGTCCAGCCGGTGAGAAGTGCAGTACCATTCTTGTCTTTTCACATCCATGCTTTTAACAATTTTAAATAAGTAAAGCACGTCGCATGATGACCAGCAACAACCGACGGATGTTTTTGATTGACTAGGCATTTTCCAACTAGCTACATCAAAAAACTGGAAATGTACTCATTAGTCACGTGATGGTGAAGTTCGAAGAGAATATTAAGATTAGATAGGAAGTCTTATAAATGTACGTTTGTAGTAATTTGGTTATCACTCTGAAATTGGTCTAATGTTGTTTAGAGGTGAATCGACCTGGGTAACAGAAACCAAAGATCGGATACTTCAGCTTTTCATTTGTGGGCAGCTCATGAGAGCTGTCCCCTGACACACAAAGTATGGGGGACCTTTAGATTTGACCACGACTACGAGCTTTCAAACGAAATTTGTATGTCTCATATAATTACCCATTGCAGGTAACTTGTTCTTATCCCTAACGTTACCGGACTTATTTGCTAGCAGAAACTAGTTAGTTACGGAAAAGGGTTATACTGTAGTTTGAGGAAATGTAGTTGGCGCAAGTTTGAAATTCCAAAGTCGTAGGGTCAGGGCTAGGGTTAATTAAGACTGTAGGTCATTGTTCCAGAACAACAATACTAAAGCTGGCCCGTGGCCCTTGTGGCTCTTTCATATAGGTCGTATAGGGACCTTAATTCGCTTTAAGTTCAATTTTAATTTTCGGTTACGAGTTTTTTTTTCTGATTCGTGTAGATTCAAATTCAGCCCGAGGATTTTGTTGGGCCAAGGATGCTGAAAAAGTACAAAGCTAAACAGGTAAGGTGACATTAGATCTTCAAAATCAAGACGTTCTTTAAAGAAATCGTATAACTAGAATGTAGTTAGACATTAGATGCCATTGAATTCCTTGGTCACGACCCATTTCTGTTTACCTTGGCAGATAGCAGCTCGTATTCTTGAGGCGCATTCATCGCTAAACAAGACTTCACTGATTGAATCTAAGATGTTGTACGTCAGGCAGTGGCAGGCATTACCAGAGTTTGGTGTTTCTCACTTTGTGGTTAAGTTCCGCAATTCAAAAAAAGAGGTAATTCATTCTTACTTAGTGAAGTAGTTTGTCATTGTTGTTAAAGGTGGCTTGATCCAGTTTTTCACTTTAAATACCTACTCTCTTTGATCACGAAATAAAAAAGTGCCGCTAATAACAAAAGAAGGGAATCGAGTTTTACCTATTTGTGGAGCTTTCGCGAAACCTTTGGTTGAAATTTTTGGCTCAGTCTACAAAGAAATGAGTCATAACCAACGCTTTCCAAGATCCTCAAACAGACCTTCACCCTGTCCGTGGGAAATATCCTGCATATAAAAAGTGAAAGAAGTCTCCTCACCCATGGATTTGCCATGGCCTTCGGTTTAGGTTGTATTTTGCGTGCTGTCCAATTAATCGTGTGATGGCCCTCTGAAAAACTAGACAAATATGGTGTAGTGAAGTAAAATGAAATCAACTGTTATATGTTAGGTTTATAGTATAGTTTTCTATGAAAAATCACCGACCTAACAACGAGTATTACCGACCTGACCATAGTTCGGTTCCTGCACATTCGCGTAGCTTTTCAGAGGGCCATCAAGCGTTTAATAAAATGCTAGAGGTATTGGAATGTGCAAGTCCATAGCCTCCACTGACACTCCAGTGACAAATATAATCCACAACTTGGCTTGGAACATTTACGTCTACGTACCTGACTTTATTTTAGCATGTTGCAAACGACTTGAAATTTGGAGGCCATTTTAAATACAACATGAACTAAACTGGAAAAAAACCGAAACCGGAAAAATGTGAATTCGCGATTATTCCAACTCGCTCACTAGACAAATTCTCGTGTAGTTGAATTCCTTAGAACGATATCCAAGTTCACCAAAACCCGGAAAAAAATTTCGTCGTGACCTGACGTCGTCTTACGAAAAGTGAAATTGGCCATTTTCACTTCGTAGTCGTGCAGTGACGACAAAGAAATTTACAAAAATGCGTGACGCGTGACTGGCAGTTGTTGTTTTTCTTATTAAACCTATTGGTTTTTTGACCTTATCGTTGCCATCGCCGTCCTCTGATCTCAAGTCCCTATAATGAATTCATCCTGTTTCGAACGTCATCACTATTATTCCAACTCGTGCAATTTGTCAAATGTTGGCCAATTTTCTTGATTCATTGAAGTTTAGAGGGCTGTTTATATAAAGTTGAGAAAAAGAACAAGAAAATCGTTCTCTTGTGATGACATCCTCTATACAAAAACGTTTAAGTCAGGACTCGCCAAATGTGATTATTTTCCCCTTTAGATGATCGGATAACGTTTTTGTTTCTTGCATTTTCATCATCATGTGACTAACTGCGAGTGACATGCAGCTTTGAAGGCTACAATTAAGTTTTCTTTGATGGTAATATTTTTTTTTGCTAATTCTCATTTTTGCGGCATAGGAAATCTTGGGAGTGGCATTCAACAGAATCATGCGCATTGATCCGACAAGTCGCGAAACCATCAAGACGTGGCGTTACAGTGTTATGAAGAATTGGAACGTGAATTGGGAGACCAGAGAAATGGTTGTTCAGTGCGAAGGAGAAACCATCACATTTGAATGTACTAGTGCAGACATAAAGGTTATTCACGAGTTTATCGGCGGCTATATTTTCATGTCAATGAGAAAAGATGTCAATCAGCCATCAAATGAAGAATTGTTCTTTAAACTCACTGGCGGGTGGGTTTGAAGATCACAGTACTGAATATCAAGGAATACGCCCTACAGTGTTACATACATAGCTCTTGACTTTTAATAGTGCACTTTGAGAAGTAACGAAGGAGCGTAAAATGTTTTGGCCATTTACAACTAATAAGGTGTTTCTTGAAGTAGGTGAGTCTAGTGGCGCCAGTTATTGAACTATAAACAGTTGAACTTAACTGACTTTATTTCATGCCTTCTTGAACGCTTCGTTCAATCATTCCTGTTTATGTTTCTCGTAAACAGTTTTGCCAATTGTCTAGTTTGAAAAGATAATCCACTTTTCTGTTTCTCGCAGATAGTTAAGCGCCAACCTACCCCTTAATCATTAAATAACAGGCCGTTTGTTGCTATTTTTTGTAATCCATAAAAGAATACCGGTAAGCTGTTGTAGCATCTGGCAGGGCACGGTTGCCTTTCACAACATGCTTAAGATATCAAGATGTGATGGAAACACTAATAATATATACTATGTAGCAGTATAGTAAGTAAGTGGCAATGTCTTTGACAAACTACTCATGTGTAGACTAGTTCTCAAGAAGTTAGTCTGATAACTGACCAAGAAACAGTCAGGCAAGAGATGGACAATACACGTTGTGGCGTTGAGTAAAATATTTTTAATGTTGAAATAGAGTAGTTACATTTGTAACTTTTTTTCGGTCTGAAATATTTGAAGCGAGGTTTCTGACATCCTGATTGTGAAACGTTGGAGAAACAGAGAGAAATAATAATAGATCATTTTCGCGAAGCAGCTTCATTCTTTAGTTATAAATCGGTGCTTGCAAACATAAAGGGTAATTTGAAGATCCGCTCTAATAAGGAAGATAATATAATTGTCACCCAGTAACCCGGGACACGACACTACCCTTGCCAGCTCAAGATAATCCAGTTTGATGATGGATCATGGGCTTACGTGGGCCAAGAGATGGTGGGTCATATAGTCCAGTCAATTTAGGCCTTTTTGAGGCTCAACATCAAACTAATTACAACATAATTTTTTTCAACGCCATTACAGTAAGGGTGGCGTATTTAGCAATATACTAAAAATCCGCCAAAATCCGTTCGGTGGAACATGTCAAAATTGAGCATTAAACATTTTGAGCTTTTAACAGGGGACACCCACGTAAGTTGAAAGTATATGTTCAAACGAAAAATGAAAAAAAAAATTTGCTTGCTACTTTTACGGAAAACTTAAAGAAGGAAAATAGCTGCTTCGTAACAAGTGCTTATTTTTTGAACAAAAGATAGTAAATTTTAAACTTGGTTGGCCATTGCACAGGAATCCCATGTTCCGTTCCAGGAACCCCAAAATAACAGCTGGCTTACAATATAATAGACTGAACTATTAGCTGTAAAATTACAACAAATTTAGTTGTCAGGCTTAAAATCTGAAAATTGAAAGTCGTTACGGCCAAAACAGAGCTCACGAAGGGAGACTAACGTTATGGCCAAAATAGAGCTCTCCCCTCAGACAGTAAAAAAGATGTCAACATAAAAAGCAAGAGTACAGTCGTTGATTAATTTTTTTCTTCTCATCCTTTCTTTCCCCTTTCTCTTTCTATTGTTTTTCCTTTTCCTTTTCTTCATTTGCCTCAGGCTTTTGGTCTTTTTCTTAGTCAAACGACTGGAATTTCCTTATGTATACGTTTTAAAAATTCCAGCTAGGTAACGTTTTGGCTTTAACGGTTAACCAAACGTTAATTTTCGTTAATGTGCCGTTATCTGCAAATATACGACTTTAATTTTTTTTTGTTGGAACCTTTTCACCTGTTCTTTTACATGGGAGGAAAATCATGGGTATTTTATGACATTCGTTTCAGTCCGAGATCTATTTTTAAAGAAGTATGAAGACTGTTCAAATGTTCTTTGAAGGCTGTGTGGCGCCAAGTTAAACTACAAAATAATTAAATCAGAAAATGAGGGAAGTTCTCAGAACTTAAGTACTTTTATGCAAACATTCTTCTTTGGGGCTGGAAGGGCTATGAGGTCAGTGAGTGAGGGAGTCATGCCGGTGCACGCGTCACACCAGTCAGAGTGTGGGTTGTATTAAGTAACGAATCAAATTGCCTGTTAGAAAATAGGATGGTATCAGATTACTGTAGTTTGTTCAGTCAAACATTTTACACGTTATATCGAGGGAGGATTACATATGAAAAGTATTTTGTGTGACACTCAGCTGCTTACAATGCACACGCTGTTAGCAAAATGCCCAAGACTCAACTGTGATTCGAGGGTTCGTTTTGGACGAGCTAGTTTCAGCTGACCGAAGTGAAAATTGTAGCAAGTACTCTTCTGTGTTATCATGAAGTTATTTCTGTGGTTATTACAAATTGTTGCAGAAATGATGAGAAATCTCGTCATGGCCTGTGTATACTTTATCTCTGTCGGAGTTGGTTGGGAATATTTCGTATGGTAGGTGTGGTGTCATACAAGATGTTTGCTACGGTAGTTAGTCGCATGTAAGAAAGAGGATGGCGAAGAAACAATTGTAGATCGGCGAGACGTGGATATTGGTAAAGCTGCAGATGCTGTTGCTCAAACTGAGTATGTGTGCAAAGAGTTATCAACAAAGATTCGAAGCGTTTAATAGTTTATTGAAATTTAGAGAAAGAGCAGTGTTTCCCAAATGTGAAACAAGTGAAGGATTGTGCGCAAAAGCTAGGGATTTCAAGCTCATGTGTTCGATCGATTGCGATAATTATTTAGAGGGAACAAGATGCTTTGCAAATGAGATAAAAGGTGTAAGATCGAGATATTGTATTTTCGTGTGTAGTGGTTGATGCAAAAGGATAACTGAAAGACGTAAGCTTAGATGTCGAGAACCTTCAAGAATCCGTTTCAGACTTAAGATTGCTATACCGAAAAATAGAAAGATAAGATGCTTATTGAAAGAGTACTGGGGGTTGTTCCAAGGTCGAAAAAAATACTTTACGAGTACTGCTACCTCCAGGGGCGTTTAAGGCCCTGTTTACACTGGTCCGGACAAATTTTTGCGCGTACAAATACTTGCACAGCTCCACCATGCATTTACACGGGACCAGCAGAACTGGACGAATTTTTGAACGGCTAAGTGTGCAAGTTTGGGACCTGAAAAAGGCAGGTCAACTTTTTGACCGGCACGGTTCCATATTTCGTACGGACTCGTGTAAACACACGAACCGTGCAACTTTTTGCTCAGATAGCGCGGTTAAGGCCTGGAATCTAGTTATGTTTTGCCTAGCTGCTTAGCATAATGAAACATTTCGTTACATGTTTCAGTTACATTTTGTTGAATTTAAGACAAAAGAAACAAACGAAAGCAGATTACAGATTTGAGAAAACGAGCGGCAACAGCGTGCATCGCTATTTTAGCCGGATTAGCTGGGCGTTTGCAGTACACGTTGCTGCAAATTGCTATTGTTTAATTTTTTCATCAGACCACGTAAAGTTTTGTCTGCCGCCCTGTTTGATTTGTCGCATACTACATCATCAGCTGCAACATGATTGGCTTAAAACATTAGCGATAACTAATCACAACAGAGACGTAAAAAGAGTCATTTAAATGCTGCGACTGGTCTAAAATTTGCACGGATCCGGCCGTGTAAACACCACTGCAACCTGTAACAGAATTTGCACGGATCCATGTAAGGGACGGACCATTAGAAAAGTGATGGTGGGGATGGGGAAAAAACCAAAAAAAAATTCATGCAAAAGAAAATGCCAAGAAAAAAAATCCGTGCAAAGAAGAAGGTAAAGAAAAAAAATTCATGCAGAAGGAAGGTCCAATTATGACCTTTATTTTGAATATATAAAATTTGCCAGTGCCTATTAAAAATAATTCTTATTCAAAATATTCTTGGGGCCTTACCCCAGGCCCTGCTATATTTGGGACTTTCATGTATTAATTGAGAATTCGAAGGTGTTGTTGAATGGGTGGAGCGGGATGATAGTTGGACGTATTCAGCCACCAGTCCCAGGTTATTCTTGTGAAGGGGACTTCCACTATGCTCATCCTGACGCTATTTCCTCAGGAGAGATAACAGAGAAGGTTGGTCTCAAAACAAAGCATGTAGTAGATGCCCATCATGCCTCTACAAGAAAGCGAGAGTTCTGCCCCCGGGAAAAATTAGGTGGGTTAGTTTCGTCTTGTGGCAATCCAGAGTTAGAATTGAAATATGAGAAATCAAATGAGTCTGTTTCTGTTCATGCCAGTGTAACAGATGCAAATGATACTCTTGTCAAGATGTTGGCATCTGTAGATGAGTTTGTTTCCA